AGCAAGTGGCACTAATACCAACAACTGTCCGAGGGATTCAAAAGTGGGTTTGGCAGAAAAGAAAATTTTATATTATCTATGAGGATACTGGACACAGTTATGAAGTTTGAAAACGTGGTGAAAAGGGATGTTTTAAACGCTGTACCACTTGAAGTAGATGTATATAGTGCACCCGGCCAGTGTAAATTGGTGCGGTTGAGGACAGTGACCACGTGACAATCGGTAGTGAGGGCATGGTGCTGGAGACCCAAGGAGGGAGGGAGGAGGATGGCAGTGCGGTGGGGACGGCGGCCGGGTTATGTGGGTGGGGTGGAGGTGATGGTGGGGGTGGTGCGTGAGGTGGTGCTGGTGTGGTGGATATACTGTACACCCTCCCACTCCTCACACCCCCTTCTCACCCATCCTTAGCCCAGGCGTGTCTGTACCGGGGACAACATGCACGGTACAACTCTTCCTCCCTCCGGGAATCATGTGCTTCTGCCTGCCTGCTTTCCTCCTGCTGGGGTTAGACCCCACTGCACCGTCATGATCACTACCGCTAAAACTGCTGGATCGCTCGTCCTTTGTGTCTGACGCTCGACGTAGTTGACATAAAGATCCGATAAGTCACGTGGTTTCTGCACTTATATTCCGGACCGGGACCCAAGCTTGTAAGAACCCATAAGTTAGAGGTAAGATACAGTACTGGGATGTGTTAATTTTTTGGGTGTCGGTGTCATCCTACTTGGACTATCGTCTGTTAATGTGGTTTTTACCATCTTGGTTAAATGGTTAGTTTAGACTACGTTAAATCGCATTAAACAGACGATCGTCCAAGTGGGAATTAATCCAGTCCGTCATCCTGAACCAAGCGTGGTCGAGCCGAGAGGTTGAGAAAGGCTTGACCACGATGCACTGGGACCGCACCGAGTTACTTCACTGGTGCAGACTATTGGAAATGGCTGGGAATACCGAAGATGGTGCGCTCTCTCGTGTTGTTAACGCTTACAGTCTTGACCTACAACTATATAATGGATTGTACAACCTTTAGCATTTTATATTTTCTTCGTTTTTTTTTCGGAATAGTTTAGATTTTGAAGGACATGTTCGTCGTGTTCGGTTTTACATATTTACAGAGGTATTTATTATACAACAGTTTATGTGGTGTATAAGACACGGACGTGTGTGTGAGGAGTACTAGGTATAATATGACCTACCTACTAGTTTTTTCATATACCAGCTATTACATATATTCTGGGGTTGGTGCCATGCAGGTGACGAGGTTTCTTCCAACAAGTACACAGCGCTTTGAGTATATACCGGACGTTGTACAGGTCAGGGTGTGGTACAGGCTTTGGGTGTGATGGTGACGGCCGGGTGTGTGGGGAGGGAACTATTTGAACCTGTTAACCGTATTTGAACATTGTACAGTATACATGCGTTTTCTATATGCATGGTGAACTGCATTATGTATATACATTCCAAACTAAATGTAAACTTGTATGATGATACTATTAAATTAATATCTGTATCTATCAAGGATGCGGTAGGTTAGTTAAGGTTGAGTTAGGGTCGGGTAGGTTAGGGCAAGGACTAATCTTATCTTGGGGTAGACGATTGGCGATGTAATCTAACCTAACTTAACCTAACCGTCTAAATGGGATGGCAAATATCGCATAAAATAGGCGATCGTTCAGACGTGAGTGTGTGTGGAGAAGTAGGAACAAGTGAGGTCATTTCTGGAGTACAGGAGGGGGGGGGGATTATCAGCCACGTGGGTGTTTTTAGAGGTTCACACGACTCTCTCACCCTCTCTCACTACATCCTCACTTGCCCCATGACCTCCCCCTACAGGTCCCCAGCCGTTACCAACACCTCTTCCCTCCCTGACCAGATATCCCTCCTCCTTGTCACAGGCCTGGCACTTGACATTATTAGGGACCTGCCACGCTTTGCTATAAACAGATGAAATGTACCGGGAATTTTACACTCATCATTCTGTCACTGTAACTTGCTGACAAAACCTATGACCCTTCAGGCTTCCACGCCCTGAATGCATGAGTCATAAAGGCAAGCATGAACTTAGCATGCTTCCCAGTTGGGCACTGTAAACGCTTCCGCGCTTCACCTTGCACAGGATGTAAGGGGGGTGCCCAATAAACTAGCCCCCTCCGGGGCAATCTGTAAAATCTGTTCACACGGTTAGACTTAAATATTGTCACACATCACCGCCCTTCATCTTAAAACTGACGATTGCTTTTATGGTGAAACAAAATATTTGCTTTGTATACCAAGACTAAACATTATTATTATCACACACACAAAAGGAGAGGAAGCAAGCCATGGATACGAGATCTTGTTTGTAAACATCTTCACACCTGTTTACTCTTACCGGGTGTTCCCCCTCTTGTCATGGAGCCTTCCCAGTACAGTACATCAGCTTTTGTGTTTGTTTATCTTCATTGAGAGTTGGAAAATACAAGAGATCACCTGAAAATTAGGCCCCCTCCCCAATATGCATTTTCTAAATCTAACCCAACCTAACCTGCCCTAATCCCCCAGGTTTTGTTTGGGGTGTTTAATCACCTGGTGAAACAAGCTTGGGGAGAGAGGGCGGAGTAATGTTCTGGTGATCTAAGGCGAGTAGCTTACTCCTTATAAGGGGCGTTTCCATCGACTATTATGTAATTCCTGCGTTTTTTATTTAGAATGTATGTATTAATTTTATGATAAACGAATCGATAGTGGCTTGTTGTTAGGGTGACGGGTTGTGGGGCTGACAGGGTATTAGTGTGGCTGGTAGGATGAGTGTTTATCGGGCAAGCAAGCAGAGTGACTGGTTGTCGGGCAAGCGCAGGCAGGCAGGCAGGATGTGTATCTTTTTAATTATTTTGTCGACATTAACAAAGGCCTGACGTAACCACAAGTCCACACCGGAAAACAGCAACGTGGCGTCTTTGTGTTATTGCGTCGTACAGTATGTCAACCATCTAAATGACGAAATCTCTCCCCGAGATTAATAAAATAAACAAAATTCAAGCAGAACAAAAGCGTGTCCCAATCTAGATAACGTGTTCGATTGTGTTAGGCTGAAAGTTGTTAGAGCCATGAGTTGGTACCGGGTAGTCTGTCGTTAAGAGCCATGAGGGTGGTTTAGTTGTCAACCACGTGGAATTGTTGTGTTCTGATAGGTATGTAGTTTTCATCGTAATGTAGTTATGTTACTGTGTTGTGGTACTTTGATAGTTAGGTGTTGAACCACGTGGTTGTGGATGATCACGTGATGGACTGGCAGCTACGATAACAGTGTAGTAAGATTAAAACAAGGAAAATACCTGAAGGGTAGTATCACCCTATGTGAAATCAATCTTTATCAGGAATATTCACTTCTAAGCCAACATTGGAGATGGCAACACAAGAGGCCGTTCTAAATGAGGAATGGATATACCTAACCTGAAATTCGATTATTGAATATCCATAAATAAATGTGGACATCACTAGTTTTGAATTGGTGATCGTCGTAACATGGCAGTTAGTAGTGTGGCATAATATGTACTATGGAAGGGATGTTGGTGTAAAGCCCGCGGCGCCTTGTGACACTTTTTAGAAGAGGGCAGATACCCACCACCGTTTATTATTTAATTTGTTCGATTTGTAAATAGCTGGTCGTCCACGAAATGAATAGTTGACGTGTATATGTTCGACTCTGTTAAATACGACATATCTTGACCGAATAATGTGTATTTATTGTCAGGTCCAGGTAGGTGTGTATCTGATGTTATTTGTAATACAGTAGTATCTTCAGTGGCAGTGAATGCCATGGGTGTAAGTTTTTATAAGGTGTTTAGATCCCTTCGTGTGTGATGTGCTCAGTGAGACTAGTAGATAAAAAGAGAGTGTCATGAGGAGACAACGAGAGGGGTGGATGGATAGTCATGCATGAGCTGGGGTTGTGTGATAGGATGTGAGAGAGAGAGAGAGAGAGAGAGAGGCTCACGAGGGACATTAGGTACAGCCCCACGTCCCTCCTTACCCCTCCCTTCGTCTCCCGTCTGTGGCACCCCTCTCACTCCTCTCTCTCCCCAGCTTGTTTGTCTGTCTGGGAATAATATAGTTAATGCCTTTAATAACATCCTTTCTCCTTGCTTTCATTAATATTGGAATAGTTGTATCTTAATATTTGATGAATGAGAAAAATCCTATCTACTTGCGTGTCGTAATTGTTCTGCTCTAAATGTATTATTGTACTTCAGATGCTAAAGCCTTAAAGCACGTATCCATTAAACAGCAACTACTAAAAATTACGTAAAGATATTCTTCCTTAAATAGTAAACATCATTTTTGTAGATGTAGTAATTTTGATATAAATAATAATAATAATAAAATAATAATTAACGGTTTATTGAAAGCTTGGCAGCCAGAAGGCTGAAAATATACAGTTACATATTTGGGGAATGGGTTTCGAATTACAAATAATATACAAGTAACATAAGTGATACAAATAAGATCCAGTTGTGGCCAGCTTTGGGTTATCGTAATGGGGTGTCAAACCTTTTTAATTTATTGCTTGTGATTTATATTGTCACCGTACGTGTGTGACCCATGCCTCTTGAACATACAGTATTATATTGCGGTGTTCACCTTGTGTTATGTATTTCTTATATCAGCTTCTAGTTTGTAGTGTCGGTAATCGATACAGGCGAGTGGCAGTATCGGCAATATAAACTCGTGTACATAAATGAGGTCAGTCATGTATGTTTATGTTTCAGAGACAAAGGTCCTGTCACTGTTTTGTTGAAGAGAGCGATTAATATGTGTTGATGATAATATAAGTTATGGGTACTTTGAAGTGCGAATAGATAATAAAAAAGCGTATAAAGAATACTCATAGCCCTGTTATCCTCATTTTGCAGAGTAAACAGATATGAGAAGAGAATTTTGGTAGAAACATGATAGTGGCATAGTAGAGTAGAAGCTAGAATGATATATTATTAACCGAAGAATATGTTTGTCTTGTTCAGGTACGTGGAGGAGCATGTGCAGAGGACGGGTGTTGCCATTGAGACCCAGGGCTTTAGTTTCGTCACCAGTGGCCGCAAACGGGAGTCCCTCACGGTCAGTAGTTGGTGTCCAAAAGTAGCTGTCTCATCTTACTCATCCGTTTTATATTAGAACAATGATTCATAGTGGTTCATATTAGATAAGAGATGTGTTGGCGATTCTTGAGGTGATCCAAATAGTGTTTTGTTTTGTTTTTTCAGTTTTAAGTAATTTCCACTTTAAGATTAAAACAATTTCTGAATATTGTTATAAATGCAGTGTTAAGTTGAACAGAAGTATACTGTACAATACCATTTTTTAAATACACTCCACCTTCTCTTGATTGATTTCAGTCACTTCATCTATGCCAGTAGTTTAAATTTGGATCTGGATAAGATTTTTTTAGTATGGAAATGACCTGGTGAAATTTAGTATTTGAAAGACCCAATTTTTCTTATTTTCTGTAAAATTTCTCAAGACTCCCACATCTGGTGGTTCAATAATTGTCACTCGTCACACTATACCTGTACTGTACGCAGTATTTATTTTGTAACAGTGCAACATTTAACTTACATCTAGAAACACTACCTAACTCAAAGATAAATCTGCCTCTAAAAAATTTGGAAATTTGTTCAGATGTTGGCTTCTTGTGAACAACTACAGCACTACTATACACAGGACTGCTTTATCCTTGCATATGTAGTGTTGAAGTTATAACTGGGGAAGCTCTAGCTCCACTTAAACAGAGTTGAGTCTGCACCAATTCATCTCATTAACTCTCACCGTCTAACTGTTGAGCTTGACTTATTTTTTCTTCTCCATATAGCTGTTTCTCCCAATTATATGGGTAATACTGTACTCTGTTTTTTCTCTCAAATGAGCTTGTTTCCATTACCCCACTGTGGAGGCCACACATACCACTTTGACACACTTACTGTGTGACTGTTGGCAACTCAAGATTAGGTCATTGTGAAACCTACTTTCCCTTTCATGCAAGATTTTCACTTCTTTTCAATCTATTATGACCTGTCCCCTCTTAACCCCCTTGTGTACAGGGTCCCTCTGTACAGAATAAAATTGTCTGGAATTAGCCAAATTAAATATTATAAGTGGTGTCCCCATAGTGAAGGAGGTTAGCAAAGTAACACGTTTTCAACACTCAGTAATTTTAATAATATTGCAGATTATTTGTAGTTTATGTTGGTTTGTATCATCTGGTACTATCAAAATTGTTGTAGTGCCATATTCTCCATGGAGAAAAAAATCTTACCATATGTTTGTCATTCAGTTTGGTTCAAGTATAGTTATATTTTTTAATATGGTGGTGTTTTATTTTTTCAGGGTAATGCTACTCTTCATCTTTATCCACATTTCAAAGCTCTCCAAGAAATTGATGGTAAGAATTTCCCTTTAATATCACCACAGTTGATATGATTTTTTCTTGTTTTCCCACTATTAATATTTCTCCTTAATTTATCAAGGATAAAGTTTAATACAGTATTGAACATAAGACTGTAATTACAGTACAGTAATGTATAATCCACTAGTATAATGCTTGTGTGGGTTTTTATTTTATATTGATGTGTCTAACATTGACAAATAAGATAACTTTTTTCTTTGTATGTGTGTGTTTGAAGCTAGGATGTATTTTCTCTAATCAGTGTAATGTACTGTATATTTAAAACTGGTGTGGATCATATTAAGATGAAATGGATTCAAACAAACTGTATTTTCCCCCTTGCTATACAGTATGCAGTATGGACCCCTCAAGAATGGGTAGAAATTGTTTTCTTATGAAATTTACTGTAACTAGAACATCTTGCTTAGAGAAATAGGAGACAATATTTTGTCGTGAAGTTGTGACAACTTCTTATCAAGAGGTCTTCCTGTCTTGGGCTGAGCTGGGGTGCACGTGTGCGGATATACCAGCTGCGTATTATCTGTGTTTGTCCCCAACAGATACTTCCAAGATTTTTTTTAATTGTATTTTTACTGTATGACATAACATGTTTTGTGTATTTGCTGTATTATTTTGTACATAACATAAAGTCAAGAAATGTTTATACAATACAACATATAATTTTTTTTTTCCAGTTTGGTTCTTTACTAATGAGTAAAAACTTTTTACATTTTTATCTGGAAGTAATCTTCTCTTTTGTAAAATACAAGCATAGTACAGTATATTCGTTTATTATGAGATAGCCTGCATGTTACAAAACATCCTGTTGGTGATATACCATGTTGACATTTGACTCGAAGCTTTGATGTGTACTCCTGCATAAGACCATATGCAAAAGCCAAGAAAGTTCTTCAAATCTAAAAACTGACAAATACTGCTTACAGTCTCAGATGATACATATCCAATCAAATAATCCTGTGAGGATCTGTTTTGATTGGGAAACACTTATTACTCTATTGATTGTAGGAATAAGTAATTGTTACTACAGCATTTGAATATGATACTAGCCACAGTCTCGTCTCTTTAAGTGGCAGGTCTCTATTCTATAGCTAATTATACCGTATAACATGTCTATGTTATTGTAGGGGATTTACATACTTATTAATTAGTAGTTAATTAGACTACTTCATTTTTAGTAGTTTTTCTATCCATTATTGGTTAATTATTGATGCTAATTCTACACTTCATTGTTGAATTATTATTGTTAGTGCAGATGTTGTCTATCTCATTACAAGACAAAATATTGTTAGTAACACAATTCTATGCTCCATTGTTGGAAGTGCTCTATTTAGTTTGTGGATAGATTGTGTTGATGGTTCTGCACTTCAGTGCAGTGTGTGTACCGTATGGGTTAAGTGATAATTGCAATGTACGTTTCATATCATTGTACTGTTCAGTTTTCAGATCATGTCTGTTTTAAGTAAAATTGGTATAATCATTTATAAATATGACAACTCTCCTGTAGATATACATGCAAAACATCACAATTATGTTAATTTCAAGGAAATAATGTTGGTTTTTCCTAATTTGGGCATTCTTTACTCCAAGGCTCTTGATTGGTTGACACAGGTGATTTTTTAATAAAGCCTTTAATTTATTTCTGATCTCATTATTAAATAATTATAGGGTTAAAGAAGTAAAGTTGTATTAGGCTTATTTTGATTTTCCCTTTACTCTCTATTGTAATTATTGTGTTATATATTGATGACAGTTGTATAATTCTAGGAATATATTTGAAACCATCAGCAAATAGTGTGGCATTCTGTCATTGGCTGAGGTAGGAGGAGTTCTACCAGAGGCCAGTTAGAGTTTTATCCGATATTATTGTCTAGTTGTGAGTGATGTATTCCTTAGGTTTCCTTTGCATTTCATATTTGATAATGTTGATCATTGTTGTTAAGTGAAGAATCCATGAGAAAATGAAAGGAACACTTGGAAGGATTTGTTGTTGTAATGTTCGAAACACGACACCAAGTTTGAGGCTAGTGGTGATAAGCCCTGTCACTTGTGCGTCACTCACACGGAGTGTATATATCCCTCCGAGCACATCCATATTTCACCAGAACTGTGACGGCATCAGTAGTACACACACACACAGCATCTCTTGTGTTTGACATGCGAGTTTTTCACTATTTTGTGAAAGAGAATTGGGCAAATACAATGGGCCCTACCGACTTTGTAGTATCCGGTAGAAAGCAGCGTGTTGCTGCTTTGTGGTGTATTGAAAAACCAGTGAACTTCAGTATTGCTGACTGTGTGATCAAAAAGGTATTGCTAATTTACAAATGTATTTTTTAAGAAGTTTTGTAGATGAATTTCCTTCATTTTATGTTTGGTGGAATTTTATGCTTCTAAGTTGGAAATGGTGCATGGTCATAGATATGTACAGTAGGCTTTTATTGATTCAATTAGGATTGGTGTTATAAATGGTCTTTATGGATCCTTGGGTTACTTAACTACATCATACAGGTTAAAGTTGATAACATTCAGAAATATTTCAATCCAAATGCTGGAGGAGCAAGTGCTTCACTCTGCTGATGTTCGTCTTCATTTATCGTACGTGTGGTGTATTTAGTGGCCTTGTACCAGATATATCTACTGCAGAAAAGAGTGTGTTGAGGATGTCTCTTCTTTGGGCTCCTAGCGAGATTATAACAGCGAGCTGCCCAATGAAGGGCTGTTCTCGACACAAGAAATCCACCTCTTCCTTGACTCCATGCAAGATTATTCAGTGAGCTGATCAATGATTGGCTGTTTTCATCACAAAAACACTTATGAAGCAACTTCAGAACTTTGTTTAATGAACTTTAATACTACAATATTATTCATTTAGCAAATGTTTATAAATGAGTTACTATTAGGTAATATTATTAAGAAAGTAAGACTCAATTATTCAACATTTAAACAGTTTATTGTTGAATTTGATACATTAGCATATATATTGTATTCCAGGTAAGAGTAACTAATATTTATTGATACGTACTGGAAATATGTTTTGGGGTAAATATTTTTAGATTACAGTACAGGTACAGTATTGTTAATTGTTCATCTTTTTATCCTAATAGGAGTTGTGGATTACCTGAACACTGAAATCAGTACTTCAAAGCAAAAGAAGTTCAGCCTAGTTACATTTATTGATACTCCTGGTCTTGTTGATGGGGACATGAAGTACCCATTTGATGTGAACCAGTCAATGCTTTGGCTAGGTAAGTTTCGACAAGTACTTTTTTGTCTCAATATAATTTTGTGTGTAAAAGTGCAAATATGTTTTGTTGAAAGTACACCATACCCTCATTAATTAAGTGGGGGCACCCAGGTTACTTGAATTACTCCCACCATATCTTATCTGTCAACGCTTTCATTGTGGTATATATATATATATATATATATATATATATATATATATATATATATATATATATATATATATATATATATATATATATATATATATATATATATATATATCCGACTTAACCGAGTTCAGAATATTTTGTCATTCGATAATTTCCGAGTTTTTTGTTCGATTATTCATTCATTTTCTGTTCATTTTTTGCGGCTTGGATGCCACATGAAGTGATCTATTTGTAATTACAGTGAAAACATAATATTTTTTAAATGTACATACAGTTATAAGAAAGTAAATGCTAATACAGTACCCAGTACTGTGCAGTAATAAATAAATGTAACAAACTACGAGGTGAACTGGCGAGGCAAGGAGTGAGGTGACGTGACGAGGCACTTACACAGCAGACACATTAACATTTTAATTTCTAATTTCTATTTTCAAATTAATTGTTACACGGTGGCTCAATTTGGCTACTTTTCACTTAGACACCTGATCATAGAATAAACCAGGGCATATGGAGATACATTTTACACTACAATAATATTAAGTTTTGATAAATACACTACAAAATTATTTACTGTGCTCAAGAGAGATCCTGTGGTAAGCACCAACCCTCTTAAGCAGTGACAACCGCAGTGCTTGAGAGATGGTGAGTACTGGAGACATTGTTAGGGAGAGTGTGAGCGATCGGCTATTACTGCTCTGTAAACAAGGGACTGGGAATATGCTATGGCATAATAGCTCATCTGGGATTGAGTTTGGTACTGGGGGGGGGTAATTAATTTTCAATAATGTTTTATTAACCTGGCACCAAATGAACCTAAATAATATGGGAATTATGGTGAAATTGCAAGCTGTCGTTACGAAGGAATTCCTGGAGGTGACTTGTCCTCTTGGTCTAGTCAGCACTCCCTCACTCCTCCAACACCTCCTCTCCCTGGTTATGCAACCAAATGTGGTTTTGTATCTTTATATAATCAGATTTTATTCTTTTAATTGATTCATCTTAATCTATTTCATAATATATTCCTATAATAATCATCCAAGTGGGATGGCAAAAACTGCACAGCAGTTTCAAAAGGAGGCTAGATAGATTCATGGTTGATAGAGAGTGGTAGTAACTCTCGACAGGAGCTGCCATGCACAGGCCAACCGGCCTATTGCAGACTCCTTATTTTCTTATGTTTCTCATGTGGGATGACACCTGACCCAAGCCTGCTTAGGGAGCTACGAGAACACAGTTGAATTAACGAGATTGAAATTTAAAGCCCATCACCGTGTGAATTTTTCAGAACCACTCAGTTATTTCAGATTCATTCTGAATTAAAATCTTTTAATTCATTTTTGAAAAAAACAAAAGAATTAAGCCAAAATCCAAATTACTGTATTGCGATCTGAATTAACGAGGGTACAGTGTATGAACAATCTCTGCATAACTTCTTTTCATACCTGATAAATCACTTTCATCAGTGAATTAACATTTTAATGAGATAATACAGTAAAGTATTTCTTTGTATCAGATTGCCCTGCATTATATTGATAAAAGGTTTGAAATGCAATATGGACATACAGTAGTATTGTGTGTATATATATATATATGTATTAAATTCTAAAATTTTCTTTACTGCAGGTGATTTGTGCGATTTGATTTTCGTCTTCTTTGATCCAATTGGGCAAGCACTGTGCAAGAGAACTCTTAATATTGTTGAGAAACTGAATGAAACTCACTCAGATCGAATCCGCTTCTATTTGTCTAAGGCTGATGAAGCTGGCCATGAGAGTGACAGACAGAGGTAACCACAAAGTTCAGACACATGATTTTAAGCCTATTTGTGAAGTGCTTTAATATAGCTATACATACTGTATATTGAAGCCGTTATATTAATGATTAGGCCTGGTTAATTATCTGTGACTGAATAATGGTTTTTGTTTGTGATTTTAAAATTATTACCTGTTTTCTGTTATATAAAGCATGAAAACTCTGTCAATATTTTTCTTATCTACAGAGTGATGATGCAGATAGTGCAGGAGCTATGCAAACGACCAGGTTTAAATAAGACGGGCTTTGAAATGCCTACCATCTATATCCCCAATCCAAATAAAGTGAGTACTGAACATAGTTGTTGTCTTTACCTTATAAGATTATTTTGCTATGCTCTTATATGTAACTTGTATATACAGTATAACAATTAAAAGGAATGAAATGACAAGCATGCACCATAATGTACTGTACGTATATAAAATTTCTTGCTCCACAGCCCACTCGGTGTGTGAATCAGGTTGAGGAAGTGTGTAAAGACATTGAGAAGACCATTAATCAGACAATTCAGAATACCCTAAATCAGTTGGAACGTGACTGTGAGCAGATATCACATCTTGTGGATGAAGCAGTCGAAGCTGATAATAGAGCTCGATCCTACAACTTCCGGGCCAAGGTACCATTTTGATTGCCGATACCAAGTACTGTACTGTAATGAACATGACTTTTCTCTTATGATATTTCAAACTTGTCATTTAATTTACTCTAACATGTTCCTGGTTCTATCACGAGCTTTTACTGCTTCAAATACTTTTCCTTCCACTATTTATTCTACACATTATGCAGTCCTTCTAAATTAATTCATTGTAATTAGGTTAAATCCCAGGATTCCCAATATTGTTGATTGATACTGTTGAACAAAAATGAGATGATCACCAAGCTCTTCAGTAAAACAAGAGGTCTGGGAGGCAATTCTTCAATAAAACAGTAGTCTGGGAGGTAATTATTTAATAAAACAGAGGTCTGGTAGGTAATTCTTCAATAAAACAGAGGTCTGGGAGGTAATTCTTTAATAAAACAGAGGTCTGGTAGACAATTCTTTAATAAAACAGGTTTGGGAGGCAATTCTTAATAAAACTAAGGTCTGGGAGGTATTCTTTTATAAAACAGAGGTCTAGGTAGCAAAAACAATCAATTATGGCTGAAGGATAGATATCTACATTGGCACTCATAACATGTGCATTTCTTTGCCCTCATATGACTGCATTATCTGCTATAATGCATAATTTTGTGGACTGGCCCTTTAAGTTTCAGTCAGTCACACTGACACACCTGCTGTGCTCCAGTCCTGTTATAACTCTACAATACTTCAGTTCTTTACTCAGATTTAGGTTGTAACCAGAGTCCAAAATATGAGTATGATTTTAGTTGTGTTTGTGTACAGTCCTGAGCAACCCAGTTTGAGTGTGGTTGGTGAGATTGTATGCTGAATAATACCCATTATACAGTACAACATTCTCCCATACATCTTGTGAAATTTTCAGTATCTTAGCATTTCAAACCCCCCCCAAAAAAATTTTTTGATGGCAACATTTGGATTATATGTATAATGTATTATAAGAATTAAGATTGTAAACAAGAATCCCACTTGCATGTTCAACACAGGCAGGCAGAGGGAAGGTCAGTCAGAGGATTATATTAGTTCCCAAGGATAAGTTTGGCCAAAACTAGTTAGATTTTGCTGAAAATTGGTGGAATATTCCTTGAGTCATCTCTTTTCAAAAGTATATGTGAAGTGATTGGACATTATCCCAGATGACATTTTCTGGAAAATGCTTCAATGCCCATGGGATGCCACTTTCAATATTTTATTTCGCTAACACCAGAAAATTTTTATTCAGCACATAGGGAACTCCGTACACAAGGGGTTAAAAGGTTAGATTTGTGAAAAGAAGGTAATCTGTTATCTTTTTAATTCCAGTCAGTAGTGTCAAGGTACCTGTGAACCTGGTCTTTCAGTCTAGGTACTATTTTATTGAATTTTAATTGCCCAGTTCAGACTTTGCTGTATGCTGGGATTTCAGGATCACTCCCTTGCTTTTCATGATTTGTTCTAGCTTAAACAAATGCTAAGTACACTTTGCTTTCTGTTTTTCTTTCCTGAAGAAAGTGGTGAGATTCACTGAGTAGTTCACCTCTCATTGCATTACTTGTGGTTTTCATAATTCTTTTACGGTCACTACATGTAACAATTTCCATTTTGTACTTAAACTTTTAATTCTATTATCAGCTTGGATGTGTTGGCACAATGAGTGCATTTATCCCATCCTGTGGGACATTATTCTTATTCCATACCCATATAAAGTATGTTGCATTGCTGTCTTATACTGTACATTAATACAAACTATGGTCTGCATATTTTTTTTTTGGGGGGGGGGGAGGCAAATAAAAGGTTATCATGTATGGTTAATACCTATGATTACTCTTTCAGATGAAGGGAATGGGTCTATCCTTGTTTGGATTCTTCCTCCCTGTAGCATTGTTGTTACAGTTATTAGTGTCAACTGCTCCCAGGGATCTTTTAAACAATTTGGTTGGGTCAGATATGGCTGAAGCTATTTCTTCCTTTATGGTTTGTATTCTTTTAGATTTTGTAATTCTATTAACTTTCTAATTACTGTACACTAGTTTGATTAATATATTTAATCAAAAGCACTACATAATACTGTATTGTACAGTATACTGTGCTATATATTTTCATATTAGTACAATATATTGAAGCATTGCCAATGATGATATTATAGCTCTGTACAATATGTTCTCAGAATGATTAGTTAAAATTCTGTTGATGGGAAAATTATCCAGCTTATTCATACAGTATATTTAAACTATAGGATTGCAGTTACTTTTTTGTTGCTTTTAAAATATTGAGGAAATTTGCTTGTATGTGCAGTATATCTTATGATTTTAATTCGATATCATCAATAACTTTATTTTGTATTCAAATTTAATTATATTATTTTGATTATAATTGAGACGTCTAGCATAGCACAGGCGAACTAACCAATATATATATATATATATATATATATATATATATATATATATATATATATATATATATATATATATATATATATATATATATATATATATATATATATATATATATATATATATATATATATATATATATAAAGCAACTGTGAAAACCCCCTCCACTTTTTTTTTAACATGAGAAATATTTTTTCAGTCTCCAACAACTGCATTTTGGGAAACCATTGATGATGAAAATCAACTTGTTGTGTTGACCATAGTTCTGGTTATATCGGGAGTGTGTCTGCTCGTTTCCCGTTACATAAATCAGCCTTTACCTACCCTTCAACGTCGCTCTAAGAAAGCACTTGCTGAGAAGCGAGAATTTGTCAACAGTCACGTCAAGGCTCAAAAGGTAAATATAGTCTTGCCTCAGTTCACAGTTATTTAAGATATTGTGTACAATTATCATATGTAGTTTTGTATTAACAGAATATATATATTCATATATGTCATATTTTCTCATAGTTTTTGAGTGACTGTACAGTATGTATGTAAACATAGACTGTTTAATATAATGATTTAATGTTTTGTCCAACAGCAAAAACTCTACTCTGAATACCTGCAGCAGAGTGTTTCAGAACATGATTTATAATTGGATTGTTAGAAGACCAAGATGTGCATTTAATCAATCAGGAAAGAAGACATCTCTTTCTCTGCAGTACAAACTAATGTATATTCACCCTGTGCCTAAACTTCTAACCATAATCCAAACAAAGCCATATTTTTGTAAAACCAATGACTAAATTATTTAATACAGATTAAGTTGTTTGTATGGTGCATGTGGATTATGATAAGTAGACTGGTATCCTGATCAATCTTTGGTAAATGTAGCCTATATAATTTATTCAGAGTTTTAACACTGTTATTTGTGTGTTGTACATGGATTATACCTATTAAATGTAGTTTAAATATTGTTTAATGCTCATTGATTGTTTTCTTAGCTCACCTGGTCTATTGTTTTAACTATTATAGTGCTTATTATATATATATATATATATATATATATGTCATCCTCTGGGCTGTTTACCTAAACTTGTTATTAGTTAGAATTTCAAAGTAATAATAGATGCTTGTTATTTAATGACTTAGTATCATTTAATTTCCAAAGCGAGTCATAAATATGCACCTTTGATATAGGGATGGATTATATCCAAAAATATAAAACCACATACTACATGAATTGGGAGATATTTATTTGCAAACTGTATTCGCCTGAACGAAAATGGTATCGTAGCTACTGAACATTAAGGGTGCTTTGTGTAGTATTTGTGATTTCAGATATTGTATCTTAAATATTACTATTGTGATTTGTAATAACTTTTATAATAAAGAGGTCATTGTATTTCTTAAGATATTCTATACCTCCTCATGAAAGTTATTCAGCTGGTCTGATGAGGTGGCTTAGTAAGAGAATAGATGAAAAGATTATTACCCAAATTATAACTTTTTGGAGTAACACATGACTTTCCAGAGATTGTAAGCTGGTTCTCTGCAATAAGCATGAGATGAGCCCCATTCTTGTAAAACTTAAAAATATATAAAATGTGACCAGAGGTATTAATTGTCCTTGAAGTTAAAGGTCATCTTTTTAAGCCAGCACACTTGCTGAAACATTGAACCACAAGATGTAATGAAACAGACCAAATAATGTAATAAGACAAAATGTCAATACTACCTCGACCCATTTCCTGTCGTCCAATAATATATATAGCACAGCAAACATAAAAATATCTGGCTAAATCACAGATGGCGAGTTCACAGTTAATCGATTAATGATTACACCTAGAATTTCAGTAAACCCCACTAACTAACCCTGAATCCGAGATGGAACATTGACTCTAAAATCAAGACGTTTGCTTTGTTTATACTGGCTAAAAAGACCTTTTGTAGTGCTTTGTTTATACTGGCTAAAAAGACCTTTTGTAGAAGGCAACCTTGATTCCTACCTACCTTTTCAGGGAGTTAGCAGTGACAGTGAGGGATTGGGAAACTGTCAGTTGTGTGTGCAGTCTAATGTTCTAAAACAGCTTGTGCATTAATAGGAGATACCTGGTGAAGGCTGTCAAGCAAGGAAAGTTGATCTGTTTTAAGATTTTTGCGACATGAAGAAAAAATTATGTGCTGTACAGTACAGTAATATCTCCATTAGATGGAATCTCTCAAACTCGGAACTCTCCGATAGCCGGAATTGAAATTTTCTCTGAAAATCGTTCCCAAAGCCGGAATTTTCCGGAAAATTTCGGTTTTGGGAACGATTTTCCTGAAATTTCCGAGAAAAATTTCCCGATACCCGGAAAATTCCAGGAATGGGGGATTTTTTTTCTGGGTTTTAGAGATGAAAATCAGGTGTATTTTCTGAAAATTCCAAGAAAATTTTCCACTACCTGGAAAATTCCGGGGATGAGTGATATTTTCCGGGTTCAAGAGAGTTGTCTCGTTACCTGGAAATCTCTCATTCCCGGAAATGCTCTGCACCAATTGATCCGGCTAACAGGGATATCACTATCAAATATAATTCTTGTTTATATAAGTTTAAGGGCCAAATTCTGACAAGTGGCAACATTCTGGTTATTCAATCTCTTCCAATGTTACCATTTCCACCTTTAACCATGTACTGAAAATTTAAAAAAATAATTTTTCAATAATAAATATACTGTATTAATGGTGCAACAAATGTGCACACTTGAAACATCAGCTGGAATTACCTCGTTTTGGTAACACAGTCAACAAGTGCTCATGGAGAGCAGCTGCTGCTTTTCTCCTCATGGGTAGAGAATGGCTGGTGAAATCACTAAATGAATGACTTGCACAGTCTTCTACCAAGGATAACAGTAAAGGATGTTCCTTGGTCACCCAAGAGGGAGGTGAATGCAAGAGGCCTTCAGGAAGATCTTGTGAAAAGGCCGATGATGAGAGCATCCCCTGAGGGAACGAAAAAGAATAACATTAAAGACACTGCTCAGTAACAAGTACAGGGAATATTCCTGCATAAAATGTCTTTTACTATAGCGATACGAAGGGAACTGAAGTTAAATAACTAATATCTGTACCGTACTTTTCAACTAACCAACTTGGCATAATAATAAATAAGGCAACAACATTTCTAAAGTATAGGTACATACCAGGTATTATATATACTGTACTAACCTTACATACAGCAAAGAAGTTGTGATCAGAAGAAGTATGGCCACATAGATCTTCATATGAAAAACTAAGGCAATCACGACATCCAAATCCATCATTAACATGTTCTGCAGGATCTGTTAAGAACACAAAAAAATGTGTTGCGGTGTGTGTGGTTTTGTAGACTTGCTTTCTATTACATCTATCCATTACTTGGATGCACATGGTTTAAATTTTGTATCTTAGGATCAATAGGGTGTGTCAATTTTAGTGAAATCAACAATTAAAAAAACTACTAGTACTCAAATAATGCCATTTTATATAAGAAATTTAGAAGTACCTATTTTGTTGTTCAAAAAGGCCATTTACCTATTTATATTTGGCCACAAAGATTTTATATATAATTTAAATAAGACTATCATTGTATATCAATATGCCTTTGATATGTGTGGTCAACTTTGGTGATTTTTGGTGCATGGTATGGGTTCTAAGCTTTGCATAGTCACAAATGCTGGCGTTTTGATTGTCAATACTGGAGGTGGAGGTGATAAATAAGAGCTACCTGTATACCAAAAATTCATGCAATCACGGTACAGTACACTCACCAAGGCCGTGAATAGATGGATCTACCAAGACAATATTCTCAGCATCAATAACTTTTACTTCGCCATGGTGAGAAACTGCAAAATTATCCAGAGACACATCAGTCAAGTAGAGACGAAATTCCGCATCCGAAAAGTCTTGAGCCATTTCTAGTAACTGGCGAGCATAGTCAGCACGAACAATCCAAGGCACTTGACTGAGTTGTGTAAGAGTAGGTCCCACATAATCCTCCACTATAACACGACCACACATGCCTCGCAGTGTGGGAAACCACTTGTGCTGATAAGCCTGGAAACAGCAATACAGTATACAACATCAAATCCAAACATATAAGCATGAACAATAAATTATACACATAAACATGGAGAACATACATGCAAACAGCAGCCCAATAGAATCCCCTATTCCCCCCAATCACTAATGCACATAACAATTCGCTATCACACTGTGGAAACTATTGTTTGTTAATATTTTCAAACAACAGGGAATCACCAAATTGTGTGTTGTGTTAAGGTTTCCCAGTCGCCCTACATTTTATTGTAACTCATTCACCTTATATTTCAAGACGTCAACTTCTCACCAGGTAGGAATTTCTACCTTAACAGCCAAAGGTAGAAAAACGTTTTACTGAATTTGTACCGGGTTATCATCTAATGTGAATTACGTACAATTACCTGTATACATAATGTGCATACACATGGGTCTTATGTACGAGTAAAACCTGTAACTTATTATTCATTACCAATGTTTTAGGGCCATTTTCCACACTTGTGTGGGTTTGCCATGATTACACGATGGCTTAGTGTCCTGGTTATCATCAGAAAATATTTTACAGGTAGAAGCTCATTCTATCACCAACCAACTTTAACAGTGTGTGACCTGGGTATTATGTGCAGGACTTCCAAGTGTCCTGTGAGCTGACAAAGTAGGATATGCTACTCCTCAATGAAATCAAAGATTACCCACCTATCTGGGCGTAAAACCTGTGACTGTTATTTAAAAATATAATTGTGGGGGTTTAACAAAAATTTACTAGCACATTCCCAACCCAAACTACCTGAGAGATTGACTTCAATCTGCCACATATTAAACTCTCAACTCCCTGGAGACTATTCAAGGAACCACAGTACTGTACTGTACAGTTTTGGATTGTACTGCATCTTGAAAAAGGTTTTGGAAGTGAGGAATAACTAAGTTTAAGGGTGATATATTGTAAACTGTAATCACGAAGAAACTAATAAATCACTAAGTGTTAATGTACTGGATGTACTGTATAACAAATTATACAGTAGTCAGGAGAGATACTATTGATTCAAGAATTGAATTGTTATCAAAGTGCTCTGAGGTCAAATGCCTAAAGGATACTAAATATATAGTACCAAACTAATACAGTAAATATGAAAGGATATATATATACCCCGCTTTACACGGTTTCACTTTCCGCGATACCTTGCCAGAACCGGACTTTCACTTTCCGCGGTGCATCGACTCATATACGCGGTGAAGTATAATTTTTTTATTTTTTTTATTTAGCTCATAAAATTCACACAAATTACCCGGCCAGAATATAATTTACATTGCTGGAATTTTTACAATATGATGATCATTTTGAATATAAACATCATGGATTTTGCATTAGACATACAAATTTTAGATCTAATGTAATAATTTGGTTTACACAAAGCAAATATTTTATCTTTTGTACAAAATATATGAAGTTTACATTCAAAATATTCCCTGACCTGCAAGGAATCCAGAAATGTCAATTATATTATCCTAACTTTAGTCTGAGGTATTATTTATTACTAAACGTTAAAATCTAGTGTTTTCACCCAATCATTTCTCAGAGAGGTGGGAGCTAGTGAGCTGGGAAGAGGGGGGGAGGGGGGATTTGAGTCCATTATTTGAATGGACATTAACCTGGCGACTGTATTTCTCTTAAATATTAATTGTGTGAGCATACCATCATAAAATTTAGATGTTATTTTTACTACAACATAGGTATTGTGTCGGAAAAAGTGGAGTTTGGGGGTCGGGCCAGTCTCTATTGGAATTAATCCCATATGTTCTGTTGTTCACTTTACGCGGTTTTCACTTTCCGCGGTACCCTGTGGGTTCAATTGACCGCGTAAATCGGGATACTACTGTGTGTGTGTATATATATATATATATATATATATATATATATATATATATATATATATATATATATATATATATATATATATATATATATATATATATATATATATATATGTATATATATATATATATATAAAGATTTTTTTTTTTTTATGTACTTTGAACCCATGTTCAAAGTACATAAGACAAAATCAATGACTCAAACTCATTCTTACATTTAATATCAGAGGCTCCATGTTTACAGCTAACATGGTGATGAAATGATGATGATGGTAAGGTCCACTATCAATATTGCCATAGTTTTCATACAAGTTCTGTAGACTTCTGTTATGATTACATTTCACACCTTCACTCATTTCAAATAGCTGTGGGTATCTATTGATTATTTGTGAAAAATTCAGATTACTTTTAGTTAGGAGAGATTTTATAGCTTGTGATACATCACATTTTTCTGTCACTTTCATTGCTTTGCATAGCTTTTGGTCAAATTTTCTTAACTCTGAATCATGAGCTAATTTCTTTAACACAACCATATTCTGTCCACTTTGTCCATAATAAACATTTTTAACATTTAAAAATTTCATAATTTTCCAACTTGAAAAGCCTGTTAACTCTATCTTATTACTTAAAGAATATTCATTTTTAATTAAATATGGACATAAATTCTGACCATAACAAGATGGACAAGTGTGCAATTCAAGAAATTTTTCATCAAGTTTTTGGTACCAGCCATAAACAAACACAAATAAAAATAAAACCACAGCACATAATGTCCAGACCTTTCTTCTTCTCCTTCTCATTGCTGATCAAACCTGTAAAGAATCAGAAGCAGGAAATTAATTAAAACATTAAGTGAAATGAAAACCTAAGTTGTTTGTGAAACAAAAATGCATAAACTGGTGTATAAAATCAATCAAGGAACTTGAAACTACAGGCTATACAGTATATGGTAATTCAAATACCATACACAAACTATATACACAATTCGGGTTATTTTTTGTGTAATCTTGCTAAAAAAGTCAGGTGAGATGTACAGAAGTATGGCCATGTTGGTGAGATAGGTACGGTATGGTACTAATCAACAGATCGTCCAGTACACACACTGTTCTAGACATTCAAATATATAATTTATTCATTTCATAACACTTGGCAAAAATATACATTTCCTGAGAAATTTAACAGCAAGAGATAAAGCTTTATATAAAATTTACTTACAGTATTATAATCAACATGAAGCAAGACAGTACAATTCCTCCTCAAGAATACACACCAATTAGTATCAATGAATTAATGTGGTTTTCTACTTTAAGTACAGCTGAGCCTACCCACTCCAAGCTGCTCACATCCAAACAACTAAACTCATTACAAAGTACGGTACTGTACATAAGATAAACTGCAACTTGATAAACAAAGCGTCCAATACTATAGTAAATTAAGATATTTGCAGCATGATAGATGAAGCATCCAACACTATTGTAAATTAATCTTATTTAAACAGTGACACAGGTATTCATAATCCTGGGCAAAGAGCCTAAGAGCTATAATGTGTTATGTATTGTTTTTAGCTGTTTTTTAAATGAGAATCCATATGCTTTCAATGCATTTCCATTTAATCTGAATTACACCCTACCACCACAAGGGGGAGACTCAAGTGAATAATTGCCCCCAAAGACAGGTGGGGAGAGGGGGGGGGGGTAATAAATGGATTGATTTATGGATTTTAGGATCAAAGCCAAGCACTGGAGCCAATGGGCCATTCAGTGTTGTAAAATAATTTGGGGATACCCCTTACATAAAATAAACCACATCCTACAAAAACAAATTGAAAACAGTTGATGCTTCACCCCCTATGACTAACAGACCAGATAAATGGATAAAGATAAAACTTAGCTCAGTTTCCACCATGGGGCTGCTGGGCACCAAAATATATAAGGCTACATAGCATATGCCTTAGATTAAAACTATTTTTCCATACCACAACTTATAATATAACTCCTTTGAAGATTAAAAGGCCTGCAGTCAACTAGGATATGATTAACTGTCAAGTCAGATCGACAGGAGTTGCAGTGTAACTGTCGCTCAACTCCACTCTCAAACATGTGTGAGGTGGGAATGGCCAATCCTCAACCCCATTAAAACAATACCACTCCTCCTCTAGGGGAAAACAAGAGGACCGCAACGCTTTAACAAAAGGTTGGATAGCTCGCAGTTTGGTGTTTGTTGTCAGAGACAACCAACGCTCTTGCCACTTCTCAGCAGCTCAAGAGTGGATCAACCCCTTCAGGTCACTGTGAGGTATATTGACACTCATAGGACAAGGGAGACAAACTGCCTCCTTTGCTACTAGGTCAGCACTCTCATTTCCTTCAATGTCCACATGTGCAGGCACCCAACAATAATAAACCCCTGCCCCTCTTCAAGAATGCAGAAGGATCAGCCACTCCTGCACTTTTTGGACTAATGCATGTGTGGGCATTAACTGTTTCAGTGCAAATAAAACACTTTGGGAGTTGGTATAAACAACATACTGTCCCCCATTATTAATAGAGTTAAAAGTGTGATTTACTCTGGCAAGGATGGCTTGCAGTTTGGCGGTAAAAATTGTGCAAGAGGCATGTAATCTCCTCTTTATAGTAAAATTATTGACCACTACTGAAAAACCAACACCATTAGCTGATTTAGAACCATCTGTAAAGATGTTGGTTTGGTGCAAGTGCTAAATATTGTGCTCCAGGAACTCAGCTTTGAGTTCTTTGGGATTGTTCAATTGTTTCCCAGTCCTAACTGGACAGAACTCCAACGCAATAAAAAATTAAAATTACACCATGATGCCTCAACAAAGTTGCTTTCGTTGGTACCAGATATCCAAATAAGTACTTTCTATTTAATATGGCGGGGAGTCCTGGTGACAGAGCCCCTGGCTAGTAAATTAAGTACGAACATAAGAACATAAGAAAATAAGGAGTATGCAATAGGCCGGTTGGCTTGTGCATGGCAGCTCCTGTCGAGAGTTACTACCACTCTCTATTGTCCATGAATCTATCTAGCCTCCTTTTAAAACTTTCCAGCATTCCAGCACTTACTACAAAGTTGCTAAGTGTATTCCACTCGTCTACCACCCTATTTGTGAACCAGTTTTTCTTATCTCCCTCCTAAACCTAAACTTATCCAACTTAAATCCGTTGCTACGAGTCCTATCCTGCTCAGATATTATAAGAACTTTATCTATATCTCCTTTATTGTTCCTTTCACCCACTTATATACTTCTATCATATCTCCCTGCAATCTTCGTCTTTCTAGGGGTTGCAAGTTTAGTTTCGTTAATCTATCTTGACAGGAAAGGTTTCTTAGTCTCTGAATAATTTTCGGCAATCTTCGGTGCACCGACTCCAGTGAATTTATATCGATTCTATAATAAGGGCACCAGAACTGAACAGCATAATCGAGGTGCGGCCTGACTAGTGCAAGATATAATTGCAATATGACCTCGGCACTCTTATTACTTACACTTCTAGATATAAAACCTAATACCCTGTTTGTTACCGCAAGCAGTAAAGAGTAGGATGACACATAAACAAACATTATGTTAGGCTGTAAGTCATGTCATGTTTATTGAGTGTGCCTGCCCGTATACACTATATAGTGTTGAGATGGTTGAAGATGAGAGACCCACAGGAGGTGAGGTGTTGGGTGGTAGTAAGGGAGCTTGTTTGTGTATAATCACCTGACTCAGCAGCCCTCACCCATCGAGAGAGGGTTGGGGAGGCAACAGCAGGGTATCGGCACTGTAGCTATTCAGACCACAGAGGCAACACCTAACCTGGTTTCTCTTGAGACTTTCAACACTTAAGTTTAACTGGTACTTATTGTGTACGCAGGTAGACTGTCCATTGCATCGTTTATCATTATGACAACATAAAATATGGCAAATTAAGTACTCATTGTAAGTGTTAAGATTAAACTAATTACATAGCTATGATTGTCACGTATGATTTAATTTAAATACTAAAATGAATTGTATTCAACAGGTTTGACCGAATTATAATGTTCGAGTTTGACGGTTATAGTCAAACGTGAATGGTCTACCGACTCTACTGTGTAGCAGTGTGGAAATGGGAGTCAACACGCGGCCAAGGTCAACCTTAGTGCAGCTCACCAACACCCAGTGTCACGGAGTACTGTGCAACACCCGTAGATTTATAGTGGCGATATTTAAACCTTGGTAGTGAAGAAAATAATTTTATCCGAGTGAGCTCAATCACTCCCAGTGTAGTGCATGTGGGAATGAAAACAATTGTCATTACCGTTGTCTGACGTAAGTGCAGAACACAATGAGCAATTATATTTGACTGAAGTGATATTTCTTTGTAAATAACCCAAATATCAAAGTAAAATTTGTAATGATATCAGGTACGAGTGTTAAGAGTGGGCATAGTGAGTGCCAGGTCGACTGTTACGAAAACAATGACAAAGAATGTGCCCTGATGAGTGAGGCAAGGCGCACGAACGTGTCCTGATGGGTGAGACAAGGGGCACGAACATGCCCTGATAGTGAGAAACGGCACACGAACATGCACTGATGAGTGAGATAAGCCGCACGAACGTGCCCTGATGAGTGAGACAAGGAGCACGAACGTGCCCTGATAAGTGAGACAAGGCGCACGAATGTGCCCTGATGAGTGAGACAAGGTGCAAGAACGTGCCCTGATGGGTGAGAAAAGGCACACGAACGTGCCCTTTATGTGTGAGACAAGGTGCATGCACGTGTCCCAGTAAATGACAGAAAGTTAAGGAGCTGGCAAGTATTACTAGCCTGAGGGTAGCGATAGTCACAAGAAAGTGACAAAATTAAAGTTAAATACCACCAGCCTGACGGCAGCATAGTCACATGAACGTGACAAAATTAAAGTCAAATACAAAGAGCCTGAGGGCAGCATAGTCACATGAACGTGACAAAATTAAAGTTAAATAACACCAGCCTGAGGGCAGCATAGTCACATGAACGTGACAAATTAAAGTTAAATACCACCAGCCTGAGGGAAGCATAGTCACATGAACATGACAAAATTAAAGTTAAATACCACCAGCCTGAGGGAAGCATAGTCACATGAACGTGACAAAATTAAAGTTATATACCACCAGCCTGAGGCCAGCATAGTCACAAGAACGCGACAAAGTTATGGAGCTGACAAGTATTACTAGCGTGAGGGCAGTGATAGTCACATGAAAGTGACAAACTTAAACACCACCAGCCTGAGGGCAGCATAGTCAATAGAACGTGACAAAGTTTAGTATCAAAGGCCTGATCTGGTTTTGAGCGTGAACGCTCGACGGAGTGGGTGTTACCGCAAGCAGTAATGAGTAGGATAACACATAAACAAACATTATGTTAGGCTGTAAGTCATGTCATGTTTATTGGGTGTGCCTGCCCATATACAGTATGTAGAGTGTTGAGATGGTTGAAGATGAGAGATCCAGAGGAGGTGAGGTGTTGGGTGGTAGTAAGGGAGCTTGTTTGTGTATAATCACCTGACTCAGCAGCCCTCACCCATCGAGAGAGGGTTGGGGAGGCAACAGCAGGGTATCGGCACTGTAGCCATTCAGACCACAGAGGCAACACCTAACCTGGTTTCTCTTGAGACTTTCAACACATAAGTTTAACTGGTACTTATTGTGTACACAGGTAGACTGTCCATTGCATTGTTTATCATTGAGACAACATAAAAATGGCAAATTAAGTACTCATTGTAAGTGTTAAGATTAGATTAATTACATAGCTATGATTGTCATGTATGATTTATTTAAATACTAAAATGAATTGTATTCAACAGGTTTGACCGAATTATAATGTTTGAGTTTGACGTCACAAGTCTGATAATCCTTTAACCGCCTGACTGGCGGTTATACCGTTTGCCTTATTTCGAACATTAACGTAAGGTTAGGTAGGCTTCTTTGGTTGGTTAGTTCTGTATGTCTTTGACATGTAAAATCGTCATTTCCTTGAAAATCATTAATTTCCCAAGGAAGAAAACACACCAAAACACACCTGAAAAGTAAGTTTTCATGTAAAATACACAAACATCACTAAAACCAATAATTAACTCTTTTTTTTTAAAGTACCTATATTATCATGACGCCCTTAACAGTTACTTTTATATGTTTCAAAGAAATGTTTAAATTCATGAAATTGCATCACTTTTGTGAGAATATACACTACATGAATCTCCGGAATTTTATAGTTGCAATCAGTACTTTTGACAATTCTAAGACATTTTTCTTCAATGGCATTTCTGGTGGAAATTATGTATAAGTGACATATTTAACATTTTCTTATGTATGAAAATTACTAAAATTTCACTTGTTGCCACTAGTCGAAATCGAAGTTGAAACTATCCTAGAAAAATCAAGGTAAAATGTGTTCAAAACACATTGACATCCATTGAAAATACAAAACCCTAACCTAACTGAGGAGCTCCACAGTCGTTTGATGTTTTACTTGTGTACTGCCACATATGAACATAGATAATAAAATTTTGAATATCTTGCTTAAACGTAATTTGCTCCAGTATTGCCATTGAAGAAAAGTGTCTTAGAATTGTCAAAATTACCAATTGCAACTATAAAATTCACGAGACTCGCTCAGTAACAACAAATGAAAGGTAAATTTTCAGATAGTATTGCAATTATTTATAACAACGGAATCTCGAGAATTTTATCTTTGCAATTAATAGTTCCGACAATTCTCGGAGGTTTGGTTAAGTATTTGTGAGGGAAACGCCTTACAAGGAAGGTGCCTTAAAGTTCTCTAATCTATTGACTGCAAAGATAAAAATCCTCGAGATTCCGTGGTTGTAAGAAACTTCAAATTTCATACCTGATTATCTACCGGTGAGTTTTATTTGGAGCTGGGTGTCTGTCAGCCGAGCAGTTGACGAATCCAGCAAAATGTAACACGAACACTTCCAGACAGCAGTATTATTATTATACAAGACACGTTATTTATATGGTAATTTCTTTTACAAAGTATAGTTTGATAAATTTCTAGTTGCCCTTCTATATTTATTTAAATACATATAATATCCCATGAACATTAAACATTGTCTAAATGGAACAAACAATGTGTCGTTCATCCCTTCGACATTACATTAAATTTATTCTTAAATAAATAATTGGATGCTGTTTATGTCAGATGGATGGATCAAACTTATGACAGAAGTGAGTTAAAGAAGTGTCATACTCAGCAAATATGGACGAACAACTTTGACACAGGGATGAGCTTAACAGTTAAACATTGTGTTGTGGGCAAAGAAGGATATACTATGCTCAACTATTTCCCTGGTTATATTTCAAGGTAATAAAAGCTAATTTTCTTGATATTAGCATAAAGTTTAAATAAAAAAACAACAAAGTTCATTACTTTAAAAGATTTGTCAGTTATTTCCTGGGAGGGGATTCAGTAGAAGCTGCAGGTGACTTACACGAACACTGATACAATAACATACACCCACCCACTGTACCCCTTAGATAAGTCACAAACCAATAGTTGAAGTTATTGGGAGATATATCTGCTGATCTGCTCCTTTAACTGGTTATAAATGTGACTGTACTTGTCGTTGTTGAAGATAAACACTTGTATTACACACGAAAAATAGTGTAAGAAGTGCCAAGTGGAGTCATATACTATACCCGATATTGAACTTCGATTTATGGGTGGCAACCTTCACTTGTTTGTTACCATTACTTTATTAAGGTAAACATGAGTAATTTAGCGGATTTAAGTTTTACTGTTAATTTATTTTACTCTTCTAATGGTTGATACTGCCATTACTGTGAAGGTCTTCCTTAAGGGTTGCCCGATTATTTAAGGCAATACTAGGAGGCAGTAGTACACGCTAACAGCTTTTTTTTACCTTATGAAAATATTCCGATAATTATCATATTCGGTAATCCTGGAGTAGATGGCTAACACCTGAACACATTGTTTGTATTTGTTCATTTTTCCACAATGTTCTTCAGATGATGGTAAATAATTAAACTGATACAACAATACACAGAACCTACCAATCAAAAAAACCTATCTCACCTCCATTTTAAACAAAGTGCTTACTTTAAATCACATAGACATTACTTTAGTGTCGTATAATCAGTTTTTTGTCATTATTTACCTCAATTTCCATCATCTTTCATGCTTTGTGATTTGTGATCGTAGGTAGAAAAAACTAAAAAGAAAAAACTGTCGTATCATGTTTATTACTAATTATCATCCAAAGAACATCTGTGGAAAAATGAACAAAATCGAACAACTCTTTCTGGTGTTAGCCATCTGTGCCAGTACAGTATTACCAAATTCACAAAAAGTTTGGGAGGAACAATTTCTTTGTACTGTAATGTAATTTTTTACTATGTTTTTTCCATCATGAACAATATTCTACGTCTGTTCTACAATGCATATCCATTGTTTACATCAGGAACACTTCCAAATTTATCAAATACCTGTACTGATACATATGATTTATTACTGATAAAATGAACCAACTTAATCTACTTAACTTCCTTACCCACTTTCATTTCTTCATTTGATCTCTGATAAATCATTCTTTCTGTGTTTGAAACAAACACACAACACACCTCAATGCATTCCTGTGGATGAAATGAAACATCCTGGATGTAAACATTAGAGCTATGGCACCATAGCACTTGGCCGTGCATGATGTTCAGGATGGAAAATATCATATAATCGTTATGAAAAAATATTTCCTTCAAATTTTTTTTAATTTTTAATTTGGGAAGAAAGCAATTATATTCTATAGAAAAATTTCCTCAAGTTAGCTACTGGTTAATGCACTACTATCTTCCAGTATTACCTTATTTTCATGTGTAAATAATTTTTTTATACAGTACTGTACAGTATTTTAAAAATCTTGAACATCCATGTATTTCCCATATGCCACTACCAATACATGTACACATTTATTAGTTAAAATAAATGGAATTATCAGGAACAAATTACTGAATACTGTACTATACTGTATTGCTTAGTGGTTCTTTGTTCAAAAATTGATAATTTATACTTGAGAACTGTACTTTTGTATCCTGTAAACCTTATCTGCTAGCAGATAGTGCAAGCCAATCACACTTGATGGTTGTAGATTACTTATTGGTTGGGTTTAGTTGATTGATACCATTCTGTTGGCAAAGGGATTCAGTGTTATGCTCTCTGAAAGAACTGTATTGATATGGCCATTATGCCTTAAATAGAGGTTTAAAGTGATATTTGTAAACTCACCAATTTTATCCTTGCTACCCTCTCTTAGTTGTACTCCATGTGTTATCTTACAAACATGTAAGTAATGTTCACATCCAAACACATAATGGTATAACTTTTCCCAACCCCAAAAAATAAAAGATCAAAAGCATGTGAATTGTAGAGGACAAATAAATGTAACAATAAAACATTTAATATTGAAACCTACTCACCTACTTTACTCAAACCAAATTTAACCTATCCAGATTTGACATTAGTTTGGCTTTGTCCTGTAATATTTGCTTAGGTTTGATTGTTAAAGCAATGAAGACAAGTACGGTTACAAAAAGTGTTTTTTGTGAAATTGTGCAATACAGTACAAGGTATTTACATCTGGGATGGTAACTCCTGTTGTGTTATTAAATTTTGTTCTTAAGTGTTACTTCACACTGCATATTTGTTTACCCGGTAAATATGGTACAGTACTTGTACAAGAGTGATAGCCAGACACTTGTGAGGTACGAGTTACTTTTTCCAGAGTTAACTTAATGCAGTCCACCAATCTACCCTCCCCCCCGCCCCCCCTCCGCAATAAGAAATGCTATGAAAATTTTAAGTGACAATAAATATCTCTAACATAAATGGGAGAAGATTTGACGGTAGCAGCAGGATAATGTGCCAACTGATGCTGATAGACTACTCTGTGCTGCATTCTACTAGAAATTGATGTGCAATCGACTGATAGATTGCGATGAACAGTACAGTCTCTACTGTAATATCAACAGACAATAGTTTTGTCTTGTGATGTTTAAACAAAACTAGATATTTTTAAAAGTACAGCAAACCTGAAATGTTGCTCCTTACCATAAGGACCTACAGTACTGTACAGTGCATTGAACTCAAAGTAAATATCCAATGATCAGCAGAGTTACAAATGGTCTGATTGCCTGCCGTCTACTCATAATTCGGTATGTTGTTTATAATGCTATTTACAGTACAGTAGTACAGTACTTGTAAACCAAATAGTATTACAGTATTGTCTTACAATGTACAGTACAGTATTTATAAGGTAATGTAGATGATTGTCTTCCTATAAACAGTATAACCATTACTGTACATTTATAATATTACTACGTACAGTACATGTACAGTATTACAAACTCATATGCTATAGCCAGTAACATTTTCTTAAAACTTTCCAGCCTAATGAGTGGGCATTTAGATGCAAAAAAGATGATGCGCCTCGGTGCTGTCAGTGCCTTCTCTGGCTTGAGTAATGAGATGATCTACGTCCCTCCATCTTCAACCCCAACAAATTTCACACCTCCTGTAGTTGTATTCTTTGGTGGAGATGTACAGGTAGGATTCATCTGGCTTTATTTACAGTTGGAATGAAGATCAGGTTAATTTTTATTTATTAGCCCTACTGTGCCTTCAAGCATCAATATCATAAACCCAATGAAAAATATCACTAGAATTTGTACACCATTGCATCCATGTTACACATATGCTGGGAAAATAAATAATTAAAAACTTACTGACCTACTGATATGGCAAGTTTTCAGTGGAAACAGGTTGTAAGCTGATGCATTTATGTACCACTAAAGAAAACTTTCCTTATATGTACAGGTATACTGTACAGTAAAAGTACTGTATAAGCAGGTAGGAGGTAGATATGGCTTCGAATGATACTTGATGGTCTGGATCCAGTAAAATGAAGAGGAGCTGAGTATGATTAAAATTGCAACCTTAGCAATGGATTGCCATGGCCAGCTCACCTTAATTTCATAATTAACTGTATGAAAGTTTTGTTTCAAAAAGGAAAAAATCCCTGTATCTTCTGTAATGTGTACTAAAATAATTAAATGTATAAAAAAAAAGTACAACTACCCAGTAATGTAATACCATACTAATGTTTTAACATTTTATAATCAGTTATCACAAAACAAGTTGGTACAAACTAATTTTCCCTGTGAGGCAGATTGAGTAGTGATAGAAATTATATTTGCAAGTGAGTTAGGGAAATAACATTTTAAGTTTTGAGTAAAACTTTATTTCGTTTACAAAGACCAAAAGGGTGTATTTACTTTAAAGCATTTACCACAAAAGAAAAGTGAATAGGTTATATATATATATTTTTTGTTTTTTTCAGTTGATTATTAATTTAAATTCAAATGCATTTCTTTACCTCCTTTATCTCTGGACTACAGGTACTCTGTATACAGGCATCTCAGAATAATGTACTGTATAAGCACTGCCTTATATGTATTCATGAAAATCGCATGAATGTTTGTGGTACAATTTTACAACAGCAACATTGTCCTCATTGGTTGATGTTCAATATCTCCCATAAGTGAAGACAAAGTTGCTGTTGTAATACTTTACAAGCATTCACACAATCTCCACAATAATCTGAAAGGCAAAGTGTGTGCAGTTTATAAGATGCCATGTATGTACAGTACAGTATATACAGTACAGTAGACCCTTGCCATTCGCGATTTCGACGATTCACGGTAAGCAGATGGTGGCTATGGTGGCTAGCTTTTTCCCGCAGCACAACGAGTCATCCCACGCAGCATCTCGTGTTGTACTCTCAAAACTTTAGTGTTTCTGTGTGAAATGGCCTCTAAAAGACTGCCTAGTGTCATTGCTAGTGATGCTAGTTGAGTGAAATGTAAAATTCAGAAGTCGGTGAGGACCCTGACAAAGAAAGTTGAATTATTAGACAAGTTAAAGGAGGATGAGTGGTACTGCGACTGGTCGGTTGTTTGGTAAAGATATACAGTAGTTCACTCAAGTAGTATAAGTTTCTATTCGCGGTTTTGCCTATTCGTGCCATTCCTTGGAACCTATCCCTCGAGAATAACAAGGGTTTACTGTACTGTATATTCAAACTTACAAAATCTAAATCATTTGGGATCACCCAGTGTTCAAATTCTGGAAAAAAATTGGACTTTGGGTATGTAAACTATCTAAGTCTTTTTAAAGACAATTTAAGTGTAATAATTATACACAAGTTCCCCGAAATCCCATTACAGTATTTTCTTAATTACTTAATACTATGGAGAGTCTTTGTTTCCCTTTAACCCTCAATAAATGTAATATTTACAGGATTTTTCCATTCAAATTTTTGGAGACCTTTGGATTTGGAAAGTTTGACTTATAGTATTTATGTTTTACGAAACTATATTAAAATGGCGAGATGAAAAAATAATACATTACTGTGTAGTATATAGTATTAAAGTAAATTTTAAATGACAGGATTACCCAGAGAACATGCTTGCTCACCGGGATCATGAACACTATGTGGAGTGGTCCCTCACAAGCACAGCTGAACTATTAGCTACAAAGTTCACTGAACATCATGTCTTTGTTGTTAAACCTAATAGGTAAGTTTTAAATTAGTTGTTTATATGAGGAAATTATTTACATTAGATTAGATTTTGAAGAGTATTAGTATTTAATTTTATTATTGTTTTCTCATCCATCGCATGTTGAGGGATTATACTGCAGGTATTTAGGTTTTGTACATAGTACATGCATCCTTTGGACTATGGCTAAGGTTCTCAGGTTCACAACTACAGTGGGGTATGCTATAACGAACGTAATTGGTTCCAGAACCTCGTTCGTTATAGCATTCGTTCGTTATAGGATTAATCCGTTCCAGGCCCCCAAATACAACCACTTAACACTGAAAAAATTCTGTGGAAAATGTAAAAAATACGGTACTTTATCTTACCTTAGTGTTATTCAGCATGCAGGTACCCCTAAACACTGGCACATCACTATCACTTCCACTGGGAGTCTTGGCTTTAAGGTCCTCAAACAATTGTTTAGCCTTCTCACAAATTATAGCTTCACTAATGTTACCACCTGCCATTTCTTTCTCCTTTATCCACACTAAGAGTAAATTTTCCATCTCTTCAATCACATTACACTTTGCTTTGCTAAGTCTAAAGATTCCCTTAGCCACTTGCACAGTTTTTAACTCCTCTTTATTCTTCAAAATCGTACATATAGTCGATTTAGCCATCCCATATTCATCACTAAGTTTCGCAATGCTTCTTCCATTCTCACGTTTCTTTACAATTTCTTTCTTAGTTTCAAGGGTTATTAGCTTTCTCACTCGCTTTGGACGACTCATTGTTACAATTGTATACTTGTATAACAAAATAGTTATACAAATAACGCGAATTTCCACATCAAAAGACGAAATTTCAACAATAACAGTGGTGCACTGGCTACACAATGAGACAAAGATGGCGCCTGACGCTCTTGTTGTGGGTCGCGGTACAACAATATTCATGCGCCAGGCGAAATAGTCCCGTATTCATCCGCGTTCGTTGTAGGAGTTGCGTTCGTTATAGCATTCTCAATTTTATAGGTAAAACCGTTCGTTATAGGAATATTCGTAGTAGGATCCGTTCGTTATAGCATACCCCACTGTAAGTGTAGAAGAGGTGTTTTTGTATCCAATGGAGTAGTTTCTAGTAATTTTACTCAACAGCTTACAGTAGTTGTAGCTTTTTCACCAGTATGTGCTCACTGCCCTATGTTTTATGTATGTTATGGACTTTATCCCAATTCAGACTAAATTTCCTTATAAGTCTTCTTGTTTGTTTTTTTATTTCTTGACCCAAATTTTTACTATTTTCTGGTTTTAACCCAGTGGATACAAAGTACTGTACTTCATTGGCTTAGAAATTCCCTCATACAGATACAGTACTGTGTATCCTCAACGTGAATTGTATAGGGAAAAAAATATTGAGCATTTGTGTGTAAGGTTTTAGCCATGAAGTGATGAAGACCTATGATAACTAATCTGTAGATAGAAAATTATGATTGTGAATGAGTTGCTCTTCTCTGAGCAAGAAATAATTTACTAAACTGTATACAGGTACTGTATACCTGTAATACTGTACCTTTTCTCTATCTTCACTGCTCTGCTAACTCTTCCTTCTTTTCTCCTGTGTGTGATTTCATCCCAAGTTTTCCAAGGAATAGTTGAAGCTGCCCGAGAGTTGTCAGTAAAGTGAAGAAAGAGGAAAGCTCTTATATACTGTTTAGTAAATTGTATCTTGCATCAGAGAAGAGAAATTCATTCATAATCTTAATTTTCTACATCAATAATTTCTCACAGTAAAGAGAGAAAGCAGAGGGTGGAATTTTTTTTAATATATTTATTATTCAAAATATACCCTGAATTAGTGCATATAACATTAATCATAATGTGTGAACATTTAATGTTATAACAGTGCATTTCTGTATATAGACTGTCATTTATGTGTATCTGTTTCAGAATGGAAAGAAAAACATTTAGCTGTTTTGATAACTTTGTCACAAGCAACAGTGTGGGTGCACCATCTCACGATCCTGGTATCGAAGCCATAAATCATCTTTCCTCACTCATATCAGAAGGTCTCAGGACAGCACGTGCTAAACTGCTTGCAGTTGATAGCGAGTCTCCAACTCACTGCTTAGATGTGGAAACTGATGTTAGCTTTGTAACCAATTCACTTCCACAAAGTTGTCCAGTAAGCAAGGAACCACCAGAGGTACAACAATGCACAAATGAAGAAGATTCAACAAGTTCTCAACATGACTCTAATAATCACAGACGTGATGATTTTGATGTCAAATATGATGATGTAACAATTATTGGCTTTAGTAAAGGATGCGTAGTTTTGAATCAGTTAATAACAGAATTCCATACTGTAACTACTGTCGACAAATTAAAAGAGCATGCACAGTATGCCTTTTTGAGCAAGGTAAGAATAATTTGTTTACCTTTCTTATTATTTTTATTCAATAAAATCAAAATTGTTTACTGTACTGTATACAGTATGTACCGTACTCTCATATAAGCTAGCAAACCATCTCCAGTCACATGGTGGAACTTCTTTAGGAAAAATTACATCCTTTAGCCAATCTCATATGTAACGAAAAACTGCAGTTGTCAGTTACTAATGAGTTTGAAATATTTATTTCTATGACTTTTAAAAGTACTGTATACAAGTTCATACCTTTCTTACTTATTTTAAGTCTTCATAAAATTACTTGAAAAAAGGATTGAGTTGCAAAATAATAGCACTTTATATTTGCCACTTGTCCATGATACCTTTGAACTCCATCTAGTATTTTTCTCTTTGTTTCAGCAATCTCATTCCAACTCATTTCACAGAAAACTCAGTTTAACTCCTTGTACTTTCCTGAGCATTCCAACTTTCAACTACAGTACACTGTTACTGTACTTAGCAATAGTTTGAAACTTTACCATAAGTGGAATGACAATAAAAAAAAATTGTCAATTTTGTAGGTAATCCCGGTTAACCCACTTAAGCAGGGAAAGTAGCTGTAAAATGGGGATGATGATGATGAATAATGAAGACTAGCCCTGAATGACCTAAAGCAAATTAAAATAATGCACAGAATTTGGATAAAATACATACTATTCACAATCCAAAATAAATATACAGGTAGTAGAGTTATGCCATAATTGTGAGGACAGTAATGTATACATTTAAATAAGCTACCACCTTCACCTATTACCCCACACTACTGTAAGTTGAATGCCTTTATTTTCTCAGCAGGAGAACCCAAAGTAGTATAGATAAGGTAAAGGCATGGTAAAACAATAGCAAAAAATAAGGAAGTGTGTAATGAAAGTGGGTCCCATAAACACACAGTATACCTGCAGAAAACGAAGTGTAATATCAAACTAAAGCAAAGTGTCTGGTGGCCTGGCAGGAACAGTCAATGTTACGACTATGATTATTCCATCACCGATCATGGAGATCAACTCTTGTATGAGTTTATGCTTTGAAACATTGATAATTAGTTTATTACTATTATTTTCCTGTATAGTATCTTGAGATTTATCAAGATATGTTAGAAATTTGAGAATTACCATATGATTTTGGAGAAATTCATAAGATATTCTTCATTTTGGTTTGGTAATACTGGTGTTTCACATGGAAAAAGCCAGTAGTGATTGCACTACAGAGAAAGAGTACTATAGCTTGGTAGACTTCTTTTTAATATTGCACTAAGGAAACAAAATCTCCCATCTGAGTACTCTGAATCCACCATTTACTGTACTTGTATAGAGTATTATGGCCTGCTTATGTGGATAGAGGTAAACCTTTGTAGTCTAAAGTTATCTCTTGCTAGAAGGAAATAATGCCATTTAATAAAGTTGAGTGCTGAATTTGTGGCACACAATGACTTTCAGGACAGACTAAAAATCAGAATGTCCTTCCTGGTTTGTTGATACCATACAGGATTGAAAACATCTCAATTTATACAATACATTAATATTTTTTCATATTAAAATTTTTGTTGGAGATCATAATTATCTAATACTGTATAAGGTGAAATTGTCAGGACCATGTGTGCATCAGTGATGAACTACAGTACCCGTACCTGTATTTTTATATGCAAATACCCTGTATTTCAATTTGGTCCTATGGCTGTATAGTACAGGGGTATTTCAACCTTATAATCATTAATAAATCTTGTATATATAGATTTGCCTAAAAAATAGTTATACAGTGGTCCCTCGGTTAACGAAATTTCGGTTAACGAATTAGCTCCTATAAGGATCTTCAATTCGATTAATGAAATCCGTACGACAAACACGTTTTGCTGTGAGCATCAGCTGATCAGCTGATCGGCTAGTCTGCTAATACAGTAATTGGTTCTATGTTTACATTCGTTTCCAGTGGAGTAAATATCAAGAAGTCATTTTAAAATTTAGTTAACATATTGATAATACCTGTACAGGGAACTAGTTTTTTGTACGCCCTTCAGCCGCTTGACTCACCTGCCAAAGCGTCAGTTTAACTTTGTTTACAGTGGAGGAAACATCGTCTTTGTCGCTCTCTTGAATACTGAGTATTTTTACGTTTTTACATTAAAATTTATTCTGAAATTTAGTTAACATATTCATAATATATAGCACAGTGCAGTGTTGATTTAAATAAAATAATCTTTAATTACACCAAGTGAACTTAAAATTTTATTGGTGAAATTACTTCATCAAGCATGGGTCCAAAGAAAGGCGATTTCTCCTCCATCCCCCACTTCTTTCCCTTCTCCCTTCTCCATCCCCCACTTCTAATTCCCATCATCATCATCAACCAGCAACATTCTACATACACACCTCAAAGTAAGTGTACTTTACTGCATTTTGTTTATACTTTACTGTATATGTACTTTTCTGTGAGCCGGAACCAATTACCAATATCCCATTGAAATAATGGATTCGGTTAACGAACGACTCTGTGGAACGAATTGTGTTTGTTAACCGAGGGGCCACTGTATATGAAAAAATTTATCAAAGGATTGACCTATATCAGGACTGTAGTTCAATACATACAATTTGTGTTTATTATGAAACTTATCATTATCAAACTGGCCTCAAAATTATGACAGCTAGCATCCCTGGAAGGAATTCAGGAATTCACGCACTTGCCCAATGTTTATGGGGAAAGCCAGGGAGGCAGGAAAAATGCATTCTAGTTTCCTATTTTTGAATGGATGAAGTAACAAAGTGAATAATCATTAATTACTACAGTAGTATAGTCCCATTCCAAAAATACTTTAAAATTTTATAAATTAAAAAACAAGTAAGAAAGATTTGATTATCCCAGGGCAGTGACCTGGCTAGTGACAAACACAGCATATACTACTGCATGATAATCTCAGGCCAACCTTGCTTTGTCCTTCATGAGTTGGGATTCCAGAACACTACCGAGTCTTGGAGTCTTAACACTCTTGGGTTTGGGTAGGCGCTTTCCTATGACATGCTCGGGGTCTGGCCTGTTACTCACCTCACCGTGCTAGTCTGTACCACACAAGAGACAATTGTACATGAGTCATTGCAAGCTTGCAATATTGTGAAGGATTAATATTTCGCTGTGCACTTCACTCTCAACGTCACTGTTGCCCCCTCTATTCCTCGCAATCGCTCAATCATAATCGGAAAAGTACTCTCATCATTAGTACCGAGTCATTTCCCAGCCTTACAGTTTTAGTGGAGGTACGGGCAGTGTGCACTTTTGAGGATGGTGAGGGGTCAGGCAGGCGAGGTAAGCCATCCTGGGAAGGCGGAGCTACATGAGCAACACTTTTTTCTTCCTTTTTAGCCACAATGACATGCTAGGCAGTTCATTTTACACTAGGACTGCTTGTTGATGGGCCAGACAAACTATCACTTGTGCTAGAAGGGCCAGGGACACTGGAAGAGGCATCAGGAGGCACCACATGGTGCAATATCCTTGCACTTTTTACATTTTCCCACCTCTCTGCTCTCATCAGCAACATGAGACATAACTCAAAACTCTCATAACACTATTATGAATAAATAAAATCACTGTGATGCGCAAGAAATCCGCATAAGTTGAGAGAGAATGCACAACAAATGTGGGTCAAGGTTATGTCCTGGGTCCCTTTAAACACAAAAAGGAGACTGGTGAGGTAACCTTGGAGTGCAGTCTACATGGTTGTCAGATCGTGCCAACATTGCCAAATGTGCATCTTGCATATCTAGAGTTCATAAAATTTATTTATTTATTTATGCAAATTTATGTATAAAAACCACAAAGCAATGATTTATATCGTACATAATTTTGCGTATGAAACCCCAAGAGTTTTAATTAATATTAAATTATTATTGGTGCAGTATCAGATTGGATAGTTTGATGTTTTCTTTTGTTGCTGCATGAACCAAGTAAACTAACAATATATTTTATCCATTTTTTCAGGTACACAATATGTACTGGCTAGATGGAGGTCATGCAGGAGGAAGCAATACATGGATTACATCACCTTTCATCCTGAAGTCCCTTGCTGCTCTTACACATATTAACATTCACATACATGTCACTCCCTATCAGGTAGGTGCCTTGTTATTTGTTTTACCAGTTCCAGTGTTCTTAATAAACAATTTTGTCTGAATTCATTTGTAATGTTATTAGAGTAACAAATAACTTTATTTTATATCACAGGTCCGAGATGATCAGCGTCCTTGGATAAGAAGAGAGTGCAAGGCATTTAATGACATTTTGAAACGTGCTGGAGCTAAAGTGAGTTATGCTCTTCACTTTGAAGATGAGCCTGCCTCTCTTGTATCACATTTCAGAGTCCTCAATGAATTTTCCTAAGATAAGTAACTTAGCATATCAATTCGCCAACCTAGTTATAACTGCATCGTCAAGTTTTTATGTACTGTACTACAGTATTTAATTTTCAGTGGCATTTTTGGTCCGATTATATCAATACAGTATGATTGAAACCCACAGAAAAATATAAAGATAAAGCTAATTTTTTTTAACTTTCCCATGTCCACTGAGCATCTCCAAACGTGGTGCAAAAACTGTAAAATCAATTAAATTTAAAAAATTTTGCTTAAGAAATGACCCCAAGCAGTATTGTAGTTCTTTACGAGAAATGCAGAAGTAGTAAGTAGTCCAGCGTGTGAACGTACTCTTGGTTTCGTTTTATTTACAGTATGTTGCAACATCATTTGAGAAGTCTGCCACACATTCCTCTTAGTCTGTCATATATGTTTTATTGCAGCATCACAAGTTGGTCTGTTTATCATTTCCAAGATTTATACTTTATCTTGAGGTTTCCTGCAATTTATTCCAGATCTTTATCATTCTTCTTTGTCTATCTGCATTCATTGTGACATCTTCTACCCATACCAATTTCTTTATATTCATACCTGCAGATTGTTTCTTATACTTTACTCCCGTGTTTTTTTTTATTTATTTTTTTTTAATTCTCATTGCACTTAATTTTCTCATTCTCTTGGTCTACTTACATAATAATTTTATTCATCCATCCCAGGTATCTTCTCTCTACTTGCTCAACAATATCTCCTTAACCCTTTGGCTGTGGCTTTTAGTGAATTTGTTATGCACTGTATTTGCAAGTCCTTAATCATATTTTTATCTTACAAAAATAAAGATTTGCATGCAAGCTGATGAGGAACAAGAGAATAAATAATTTATCTAGTTTGGTTTAGCCATGGTGAAGAACTCCTATACCACACAAAGTGGATGGTTCCAGGTCACTAGGAGATGGAGACAAGCATACTTCCTCTATGACGAGTCATTGATGACTGTGTAATGAGGCAGGGCTAGGGGGACCTGGAAGTCTATGGGACCCTGTCTATAATGTCACTTGGTGTACAGTTTTTAAAATAAAGCCAAAATCTTGGTAACCTACTGGCTTATCACAACCTCAATTCTCTGGCCCTTTTTGCACTCAGCCAGAGAATTGCAGACCACTCACCCTATTTGTGTTTTTGCAGCCACAGGGTTGATCATCTACTTATTTCTTTAATATATTTACACTTATTCCACAGCACATCCTTAAGAAATCTCTTCGCTCTGCCTATGCATATTCATTTTCTTCCAACTACCGTAAGCTTACCCATGTTTACTAAAACCAAGATGGGTTGAATTAGGCCTTGCAGTGTAGTTCTACCACTCCCTTAGTTTTTATCTTTACCTTTAAAAAATTGACCCCGAGGCCCTAGTTCCCATCCTACATTTCATATCACATCTTACTGTCTAATTTCTCCTTAAGTTGGTTCCTCATCATCTTATTCTAGTTTCTAGTTTTGTACACCTGTTGATGCAACCCCCATTGTTTTAATACTCATTTTTAAGAGTTTCACTTACATAATGGCAAGAATTCTTTGCTTCTGTCTCAAAACATGCTTTTGGTAACTTTGACTTCTCAGTTAGTCAGGTTCACAAATGTTCATTTACAAAATGAAATCTTCAAGTCTGGCGAGAGAAGTACATTGTACAGTCCCCCAAAAAACTATCGTTACTTTTTCCATCTTTACAATTTGAAATTTGGACAAATTGAAGACATTTCCTTTTGTGTGTTGTTTATGTCAGTATGACTGCATCCCATATACATAATATATGTATTTTTTAAATATCTGTAGCAATAAAAGATAAATTACTGGTCATTGTGAATTCTGGCAGTTCTCTGCACGAAAGTGTTGCCAAATAATTTGTTCCACGGAATTAAGAATGGTGTACAGTATACCAATTCCTGTGATCAACTGTACTAACCATTCTGAACCCAGTACACTAACACTGTTCACAAAACCAGACCACATTAACCTACTGGGTAACAATAGTTTTTTTGAAGGACTGTACACAAGACAAAATATTTAATGAACTTATGTAAACTCCTTGTCATTTATAAATTTATTAAAAATCCTAAATATTCTCTTAATAGCACAACTAAATACATGACTGGCTGCTTGCTGCACTTCCTAGCATCCTGAATACAGTGGATATCACCATTTTTGCTCGTTATACTGGGCCAGTACACAAGTACAGTATATTACTTTTGTATTCATATTTACAAAACTCATGAGGATGTCTCAATAATCAATACACAATAGGTGAAATTGATGTCAATGATATGCATATACCTAACACATTTTTCACATGGATTTCAGTACTATTTCAAAATCTGAAAAAATATATCCATGTATAAACTGTAGACAAAGATTGATTCCCAAAACAGTTTCTATAGTATTTAATCTCAGGATATATTCCCACTTGTATAAATATATAAAAACAATAGAAAGCCTGCAGGTCATTCCTGTGTCCAACAATGATCAAGAACAGCATTTGTATTTTACCTTTCGTCTCAGTGTGAGGGACCTTCCATATTTATTTTATGGTGCAGATCATAAATATAATGGATGAAGTAAACTAACTCAAATTCATAATTTGACTAACAAGACAGTAATCACAAAATTTTTGCATAATCATAAACTGTGCAAAAAAAAGGGTAGAGTGATATGTAGGATAGGCTTCTGCATTAATGCCCTGAACAATAGCCATGGTTAAGAACATCCCAGGTATATGTGACCTCGATGCCTTGCTAAACAGGCAATAATGGTACATGTTAAAAACAATTATATCAATGCATTCAAAGATATGTCAAACACCGATCTTCTCATAAGTTCAAGCCTTCAATGATACTCGCAATTAAATTCTTGACATATATGACAGTAGTACATCCAGTGCCTTTAAAACAATATTTTATACCAACTCACCTACTGCTGTAGGGTGGCATCCTTCCAAAGCAAGAAAGGTGATCTTTGTCCAGTGAAAAAAACAGCCAAGTACAGGCTACAGCAAACGACCCTTGCCAAATTTACATCCTGGGACTGAACCCAGGGTTCATGGGTTGTGGATATTGCTGCTGAACCAGGGTATGTTATTGTCCTTATTTTTTACTGATTTCTGAAGAGGACAAATATAAGTAAAAACTACACACTTTTTTTTTTTAAATACTTTTGAAAGACATAAGAAACCTTGAAAATGCAAGGAAGTCCTGGAAATTTTACCTTTCTGTAAATACGATAGGAAATGAAGCACATTTATTGGCACACGTTCAAGAACATTAAAGTTTTAGTGCAAACAGTTTGCTTTCCCAAGAGAAACATGCCAACACTCATGGTAGAGCACACCCCAATTACCTAACAAATATTTTTTTTTTCATCATTATACTTTTAAATATTTGCTTTTTAGAAGATATGATTTAAAACTGATAATCAAGAATGTCTGCCTGAAAGCAACAGAAAACTTAAGCTGCCTTATATTTTTAATAACACTACAGAACAAAAAGAAACTATTGGAATGTACAAACTATTATTATTTTACACGATAGAATTTTTTTTTTTTGAGTATTACCAGTTTGTGAAGTATTATCTGGTATTGAAACATTCAAACTTATAAGTGTACACCATCTGCAGCTTCAGCACATGTCAACCATGATGATGGGGTGAAACTTATCTACAATAATGAATTTAATGAACACTTTTACACAGCACACTTTTCTCTCCTTAACCTACTTAAATGGCAATAGCAAGACACTCATAACAAGAACAATTCATTCAACAACTGTGCAACTCAAAATACTCTCACAGACCAATTATTTAAATGCTATATTACTGAGTGACTGATACTACATTACTACGAGGCACCAGATAGCAAGGATCAAACTGAGATTCATGTTCACAAAGGCATGAATGCCTGACGTTAATAGACCTGAAACTGACAGCCTAGGTCAAATGGGGCAACTTATGGTGCAGATATATATATATATATATATATATATATATATATATATATATATATATATATATATATATATGACTGCCTACAGCTCTATCACAGTCTAGCATTTCTAAAAAAATCTTTTCTCCTCAGTCACACATAATCGTGTATTATTATTCATAAGGAAGCCTAATGATCTTTACTGTGGCAGTAGAAATATTTAGCAATGACATATCAATTAATGATCCCTCTTGATATGTTGTTATTTATGGTGTATAAAAAAAAGTACAAGATAACCCAAGCATATGGGTCTTACAACATGTTTACATCTTATATAAGTAATGAACTACAATAACCTGACATATAATATGTCAATAAATAAAACACCATGGATTATAATCATCCAAATGAAAATCTCGTTTAAAAAATACACCAACTTAACAATTTGACTGTCAACAAGAGTCTACATGTGTGACACAAGCTTAAAGGATAAGTGTCATTGCCCTGGAAGTTTGGAACTGTATTGCTATCACAGTTTATTGACATTGACTAAACACTGAGTGTGCCTCAGTTACAGAACACTAATGAACCATGATTGGAATTCGTCATTACCATTTGGGGCGGAAGACACCCAGGATCTGCTGATAACAGAATTACTTCAATATCATTTAACAAGTGCACAGATTAGTTGCTTTCCACTTATTGTCCACAAGTAGAAAATGTGGAAACTAGTTCCTTTAAAAAACACGTATTGGTCCTTCATCTGTACATTTCACACTTAGATTTTTGGATACTTCAAACGTCAAAAAATATCAATAATATACATGAATAGTTTAAATACCTCGAAGGTATAAATGAAATTCAAGTCTACAAAAGAACCAAGAATTCTGTTATTCAAAATTGCACATCTTCGTAGCTTTTAAAAAGAACACACTATATTTTACAAGCTTAAAACACCATTAAATTTAAATATAAAACAATGTTGATGAATTACACCAAACTCAATATATAGTTTGATATTTTCATTATTATGGTCACTAAAGTCACTATCAAATGTACACTTAATTTCACAAAATAACTTTTCTTTTGATATTGTTAAATATCACATTTCATTATAATCATATTCCACTTATTTCACACAATGTCCTTTCATGCCTAATATTAAAAGGCTTGCTATAGTTTTTCTATACAACTTACTCAACAGCAAATCCACAGGTCTCCTCTACAGCTTGGGTCAACTTCTCAAACATCTTGCTGTATGACTCATATGGAGGAAGGTCAATGCGATTGAAACATGTATGTGCCTTTGGCAGGTTTTCTGAAAATTCAGTAAAACATTTTAGATTATGTACATTAAATATTTTGTAATTTAATAAGATTATATTTATCTAAAGGAGAGTTATCAGAATATAGCTGACAGTGAAAACAACAGTTACGTGACTTAGCAGTATATATCTTCCTGAAATAAAAATTTCATCGTAGATATAATTTAAGTACCTGGTATCACTACAAACAGACCACACACTTGTGCATTTTAAGATGATTTATGTTCTTTGGGGTTAAAAGAATTCAGAGAATATTCATAATGGTAAAAATTCAACAGTTTTGATAGATAAAATAAGAATTAACTTACAATAGTGCTCACTACAAAAAGAACTGGACAAATCTATAGCAGCCTTATTATCCACTTGCAGTGGGAACAGCACCTGAGTGTACATGTTTGTGTGATGCATAAACTGCATCTTGTTAAATACTAAAAATAGCTTTGCATTAGATACTTTCTTTCATTTCCCTTCATAATTTCAATTTCTTCTAGTTTTTGTAAGCAATCAGTTTCCAGTATGTAAAGAGGCCCTACTTATTCTCCTGGCAATTTCCAAAAACTCTTAAAATATATTGAACTACATGATCCCTGTCATTAAAAATACAGTAAATCTCACCTTTATAGTCATTATTAATACTGTACTGTACTGTACTACTTTTCTTTCATTAAAAATCTTACAAGCTGTATCATTATAAAATCAAAATTTAAAAAATAATGTAAATCTTTAATTTATTCATACCAATGATGTACTGTACAGTACTTGACTTGTAAAAATCTCAACTAAAAGTTTATTTTGTTGACAAGTACTGACAGTAACTAAATATGCCTGACAGTACAACTGGCCACTCCTCGATCAACACAATGAATGTCACCACTTTCCCATCCCTCTACCTTTTATTCCTACACATGATTACTATAAGATATATTTCCTATGACTATGTAACATATCACATACTTAGCAACCAAGATTTTTTTTATGCAAAATGCAGTTCTATAAATAAACAGCCTTAGACATGACTCCAGCATATGCAGTGTCTAGAAACTGAATACACCAACATGACCCATCTATAATGAACAGGAGAAAACACCATGATCTACTGTTTACACTGGCAACTGCTAGGGTGGACACATCCAAAGACTATACCAATACTATACATGTACTAGTTTACTTTGTCACAAAATAGCATCCGTTGTTAAAAAAGTGCTATTGTATTAATATAAATATTTTGTAATAAAGCTATAGTATTTGTAATATATAAATGAAAAAAAGTTTTGAAACATTTTGCATTCACTTTAAAGTACAGTCTCGTTCAAGATTCTTCGAGCACTGCTGGAGACAGCGGGCAACCCAAGGCTGTTTGTTTACGATAGTACGTAGTATAATATAATACGAAACAACAAAGCTCAACCAGTAAATTAAGCAACGGGGAACTAAGTAACCAATCATCGATCACTTTTACATTTATTCATAATTTTTAAGATGTACGGCCTCGAGTTGCCAGCTATCTCCAGCAGTGTTCGAAAAATCTTGAACGAGACTGTACATACAACATATTATTCCATTATGCTAAGAATTTCTCTATACAAATTCCCAAGTACCTGTTGGAGCATCAATCTGATGAATAGTGAAGAGCCTTGGTCCTGCAGCACCAGTCGAGCCCTGCAATGCCTTGAAGCCTTGTAGTGGCACACGTGAAGACCCCGTCACAAACTGCAGTAGTCTCGCTCTCATCTCCTCAGTATAAGAGTCAACTATCTGCCAAAACCAGCCAACTACTGGTGTTTCTGGAGTGCAGTGCTGTTCACACATGAAAAGAACATTAAGAAGCAATAAAACCTGTATTTCATAGCAAAGGTTTGTGAAAAATTGTACAAACAGATGTACAGGTACAGTACTGTACGTATATCCCTATACATCCATGGAGGTACAGTGAGAATAAGCATATCTCACTAATGTGTCTTGGGTTCAATCCCCAGCCTGGGACAGACATGGAGTTATTCAGTGTGACCATCCCAAATGTTGCAGGTTTTCTCTGGACACTCCACTCTGGTACATACTGTGTTAACTCTTGATAATAAAGGTTCTAACAAAATAAAAATAAAAACAGACCAACTACCCAGATGCCTAGTAAACTGATTAGTGGTAAAATGATAAATATAATGTAAGTACAGTACTAATATATTTTAAATGTGCTAAGTTTGTGTTAATATCTACACGAGTGAAAAAAGTAGCACCGGTAGAGTACCTGTATAGATAATCCAACAGGTTATTAATGAGCTCATAAAGCTCAATATATGCTAAGATCTAGCAACAAAACTGAGAAACCAGATAGCTCTCTTAAATTTTAATTGTTGATGACTACTGTGTTAAGTAATCTAACAAACACACTTATAGACCTAACTTGTCAAATTAATGTACTGTAATACACATAACATCAACATTAACCGGAGTAAAGGATTCTTTTTAGGTTCACTAAATTTTTAACCCATCTATTGAGGATTATCTGGCCCACTTTCAACTACAGTGTACATGTGTTACCCAAGTGTTTTAATATGTTAAATGAAACATTATATTTAAAATTATGTTTCTGAACTGCATCACCACTCAATTTTTTTTTGGTATTTGTACACATTGATCTACACACACAAATAAACTAAAATTATTGAAGTATACTAATCACAAAATGAGAGATTTATCACAACTGTACTGTTTATCAATGGCAAAATAATAACCCAAGGCCAACTTTTCCTCTACCACTTCCAAATAAACAAAATAACAGCCTCCCTTGATATGCTAGCTTGTCTGGAGTTTTTAAATTATTAACTATCAAACAAAGTATTCACTGCCACAAACTCCTTTCCCACTCCAACCAACTAATGTAATTATGAATTGCCCCTCCTTTGTGCCCTTGTCCCTTTAAACAAGAGCAATTGTTCCACTTACCTTGAGTCGTGTGTTGCTTTTCCAATCCTCTATATCTATTTTTCCCAAACCACCAATGATGAGTTCCAGTTCTCTTTCATCAAAAGGCTTCAGCAGCTGTTGTGGAACTACTTCAGTAAAGCCCTTTTGAAGAGCTGCAAACTGTTGTTCAATACCCTAAAACAGAAAATGTTTCTCTTTCATTATTTGTTTAAAATATCTGATGTATAACATTTAATTCTTTTAAATGTATAAAGATTCATAAAAATCTTAATTTTCTATACTGTATTTACCATCTAATGGTGCCAAAACATAATGAAGAAAATATCCCAAATTTTGTTTTCTAATCGAGATCAAGTTTATGACTGAAAATCTTCAAGTTAAATGAATCTGAAAATAAGAAAATCCTTCATTGTTTCTCAAGATTCCAATAAAAGAAAGCTAAGTATGAAGTTACATTGAAAAATGTGAAAGCTTTAGGACTCACAATTATATATACAGTGAACCCTCACTTTACGCGGTCAATTGAACCCACGGCGGCCACCGTAAAGTGAACAACATAACATATGGGATTAAATGAAATAAAGACCGGGCCGACCCCCAAACTCCACTTTTTCAGACACAATACCTACGTTGTAGTAAAAATAACTTCTTAATGTTATGATGGTATGCACACACAATTAATAATTAAGAGAAATATCAATAATATTAGGATTTTTAACACTTACATTAGTAGAAAAGATGGCTGGGCACACAGGGATGGGGGGTTGGTTCCGAGGCAGAGGGCAGATTATTGGCCCTCACCTGTATCACTTGTATCAATTGTATCACTATCCACCACAGAGGCTTGCAGGGCCTCTTTGTCAAACCCCTCAAAGTCCATATAAGTCCATATCCTCACTATCATTATCACTATCACTGACTTGGGCTGGCTGTGGTGGGTGGCGGGTGAAGAACTCGGTAATGTTTTGATGACTGGGCGACCTTGTGCGCACCCTGCTCGCGCCACTCTCCGCGTAAAAGGGTACACACACCGCGGAAAGTGAGCATTCCGGTTTCGGCAGGGTACCGTGTAAACGTGGAAAAGCGTAAAGTGAAACCGCGTAAAGCGGGGGTTTACTGTACATACGTGTGTTCCTTGCCCATATTGTTTGACGATCTCAGAAATACCAGCTGCTGTTTTCAGACCACTCGGCTAACCCACTGAGAGAAAGGAGAACCCGATTCACCCTTTCCTATCTAAGTTAAAAAAATAATATTTTGGGATCAATCCCACAAAAAAAAAATACAAAATACTGGTTTAGGGTAACTTTGGATATCCATAACACCTCAGATCAGTTGCCACCTAACTCAAAACAGTTATCAGAATAGGCACTAACCCTAAAGACTCCAAACTGCTAGACAATCCCTGTCAGTACTACACTTTTAGGCATTAACAATTAATACCCTGGCTAGTACTTGGCCCCCTCAGCTTTGAATACATTGGAGTGATATACAGTGCATGATGGCCTGGGAAGATGTTATACCTCTAATCATATGCACATGAGATATGCTATCAAGTTTGTGTGATCTTAACCAGGGCACTGGATATACAGTGTACTGTAGAGGCTCTGTTTTCTTTAACCTTATAATTATGATTATACCTGTACCATTCAGTACAGCACAGTACTATAAAATACTGTATGTTGATTAAAGAGAAGGTACCCTTATATAATCTTGAACCACCTTTACCTGACAAAGAATGATGACAGCTGCTTTCCAGTTTCAACCCAAGAAACTAGTAACTGAAGGCCTAAAATGTACTGTCGGATTCTCTGGACATAAAATTACAAATTCAGGTGCTCGGTTTTCTAACTGAGCAAAATAATAGAGGTTAGATGAGTACAGTACTCACATTCTGGCATTGCAGAGAAGACTTTCATGCCTTCTCCCTTTTCAGGATACCATTATATCATGTGTTTCATTTATTGGAATCTATTATGAGGGGGAAGGATTTTCTGATTTTCAACCTATTGAATTTTTATATTTCCCATAATAACTTATGTCCCAGGGATAATGTTTTTAACCAACAATTTCTCATTGACCATTACTGCTACTAAGACACATAAATTAAGTTGCACTTTTCCTTAAATGTGACAGTATTTGTGCAAGAGCCAAACAAAATCATCCTAATAGATTACAGTCCCACAAAACAAAAAGAAAATTAGCTAGAAAGTTATCTTTTACAAACCTGCATAAACCTATAGTTGACATACAACCTAACATATTCTTTTTTGTTGTCTTCTGTGACTATTACATTACTGCCACCATGCTTGAGTTCTCTCATTTGTAGAACACCAAAGCTCTCGTGCTCAACAGTAAAGGTGCTGTCAATGATATCTGTGATGTCATTCTCCCTGTAAGAGAAAAAAAAATTGAAGAACAGGTACTTTTCAATATTTAAGCCACCTTATACTTTAGTAATGCTATTTGCTAAAATGATGGAGAAAATGATGTGTATAAATAGTACTAGATTTGGAGAACACTGAATTTTTGGTGAAGGATGAGGCAGTAAACTTGTTATAAGCAGCATATTCAATATTAAAATATCAACTCCTAGGATATTCCCAGGCCTTAAGCATAAAGTATCATCTCTGGGAGTAATAAGTCTCCCGATCTGGTGAAAGAATGACCCTAGGCTTTGGGTAAACACTACACTCAATTGAGTTTTTGCTTTGCTGTGTACAATTTCAAATACATGTATTGCACAGGATATACAGGTTATTGTGATGAATTCTAAAATTTGCACAAAAAATCTTGCCTTGGGCATGAATGAATTTAAATAAAAGGCAAAAACACTGAGAAACATAATAGTTAATAACTCAAACCACTTTTATATCATCTGCTTGGCAGCTATTTAGCTCAACACTGCTGAACACACTCAGTCCTGCAAATTCTGACTTTAACTTTTTACACCTAGGTTATATTGGTCACTCCTTTAGAGCAAATGTAATTAAAATTATAAAATTTTAGATAATGATGTACAATATAAATCATGACAAAAATTACCCCCTGGAGTAGGTTAACTAGCATCCAACTTCGTGATTGACCACAAAATTGGCCCAACAACTACTGGGTGCAGTGAAAAGTTATAAACACATACAAAGAATATAGTAAGTAAACTTGGCTGGCACACCTCAGTGCACAAAGTAAAAGTAACAACAAGGCCTATCAGGTATGGTAAGGTTTATCTGAAGGTTATACTATATAACTTTATATAACGTGATTAATAAACACGACAAACAGAATTATGGTGGGTAGGTACAGTTGCAGAAATGTGTTCCTACACCTCCTGTGGTAATCTTGTCACCAAACGGCAACGTCACAGCAGTAGTACAGTAAACCCTTGAAGATCCGGACTAAAAGGGGGCACCACCTGTCCAGAAAAGCTGATTGTCCGAGTTTTCCGGTGAATAATGAATGATACTGTATAAGAAAATACCAAAAAATACAGTACTAATGTGGGGGGGTAGTGATAAAAAATTACCGTATACAAACCATGCATTTACCTATGATAAAATATCAAGAAACATTGTATCATTACTAGAGTGAATGAAATAATATTCCCACAAACAAGAATTGACAACTCTGTTTATGTTTCCCACCTCCTCAGCACTTGTGTCCAAGCAACTGACGGGTCAAGCAGCGCCCACGGGCCTAAAATGTTCTTTGCTCTGGTTTGGGAATGTTTCTTAGGTAAGCTTCTTGGAGGCTTCTTAGGCCAGAACCCCCCAATTTTTTGTCCGGATCTTCCGAAATCCGGATTTCCCGGGTCTGGATCTTCGAGGGTTTACTGTACTGTATCACTATTTATGAATGAATCACATTGATTGTTACACAACCAATACCCATTTATTCATAAATAGTGATACTACAGTACTGTGATGATGTTTGGAGACACAGGTCACTACAGAGGGTGTAGGAACACATTTCCACACCTGCCTACCCACCATAATTCTGTTTGTCTTGTCAAAAATTTTAACTGCATTAATACCAATCTAATTTTGTGAGCAAATTTACTTCCATCCCAGAATAAAACAACATCTTTTATTTTTCTTTTCTATCAAGTTACTTAAAGGACAAAATCCAAACTAGGTTGTCCACATAATTTTTCTCATCTGGTAACAACATCCCTGGATTACCTTAAAAATCTACTCCGTGTACCACAAAATAAATATGTACATACAAGTTATTACTTTCAAAACATTTCTCCCTTATCTTTATCACTAAATAAAAAAGCCTTACAGCATCCAGTTCAGTGAGCGGTGCAGGTCGGGATCAACAGCTTCGATGTCATCAAGAATGATGAGTTTATTGAGCAACATCTTGTAAAAGGGCATAGAGAAGCCACCATCAATGTAGTGCCCGTGGAATATTGCCATTCCTATCACACGCCCAACAAAATGGAAATATGACAAGTGTTCCTGTGGAATTGAAAAAGACAGATACTGTATTAGTGATGTTTACTTTTAATTTTACCTTTATCAATGATCCTCCATTACTGTACTAACAAACAGGGTTGGACCACTAGAAAAAAATAAGGAGGGGGTCATAGTGTACTGTAAGAGTAAATAAGACATAATAAAAGACCTTCTAATAGAAAATGCTTCATATAAAATAATTTAATCCAATTTTCCCATTAAATCAATAACTGACTCCTCATGTTCTATTTCCCTTCCTGGCTGTAGCTATCTCCCAAGAAAAACTCTTTTGTTTTATTGATATAACTCAATTCATGCATATTAAATTTGCTCTCTCTTGTTGAAGGCATCACTTATCATAACATATCCAAATCACATGGTATACTCTCACCCAAAAGTTTGTTAACTCTTCCAGCCAGCTATTGCTGCACTGCCTGCTTCAGATGCATGAACTTGAGTCTTTTACTTCGAACCTTTAGATTCATTCGTATCGGTTTCATGTTCTGGTTGGTACCGAGACAGTTTCAAACATCTGAAGTAGGGAGTGCAGCAATAGCTGGCTAGGAGAGTTAACCAACTTTAGGGTGAGACTGTACCTTAAGTTAGGTTTGGTCTATAGTGATGCTATTCGTGTAATGTTATACTGTGTTATGATTATTTATGTTTAAATTTAAAAATATTATCCCCATTTAGCATGATTTTCCTGAAAACAAAGTATGTACCGGTAATTTCTGGTGAAGATATGAGTAACGGTTACATAATAATAATAATAATAAATAAAATATGATAAATTCTTCTTTCTTTATTATTAAAGTTGTTGGTCCACCTGGTATGTATTGCTGTACAGATGATAAGAAGTGGAAGAATTTGCTGTGGCTTTTATGGATGTGGAAAGAGTATGATGGGAGATACATAAGTGATGTGGAAGTAATGAAAATTTAGAGAGTCAAAGGGAAATTATTGAATGTGGGGACTAGATAACTTAGAAACAGTAATATGTATAAACAACCTGAAAGCATGGCATCCAGTGGTTTTGGGGGATGGATATGCTTTTTATAGGTGATGTGAAGTTGTGTGAAATGATAAGAGGTAAACTAGACTGAAATTTTGGCTCTTGTTGTGAAAGGGGATGCCACAGCAGACAAATGTTCGCATAATTCCCACTACCCCGCATTATACTTAGTAAAGCCTTGAAAGAATAAAAAAAAAAGTACTGTAATGTTTTCACAAATATTACTTGGCTCTTTACAAACCATTTCTTGTGTCTACTGTCTAAAATACTTCATATATGTCTACTAAATTTGCTTCCCAATTCACAAGGAATCAATAAGCATTGGATATAAATGAATTTCATGTATGACTGTGGTGTAAAGGAATCCATTTCAGTAATGTAAAACCAGCAATTTTTTTTATTACATGTGGCACTTACTTTCTAAATGCTTCTACATTATTAAAAATAATTAATATATCTTCATATGCATCCCCCTTTAAGCATTACAATACTAATGGTGATGAAGATAAAATGCAACAATCTAATTAAAACTAAGATTAAATACAGTAATATCAATAATGCACAAAAACCGTAGTCATTTTGAAGCAACTGCACCCTACTTTAAAACGATACATCCTCCCTCCCCATACAAATTCATACATATTCTGAAGCACATATACAGTACAGTCTTTTCTCGATACAATGGAATCTGATTAAAATGAAAGATTTTTTTCCATCATTGATTTTCCAATTTAGCAAATTAGTTCACTCAATTGAGTAGATTTCCGCTAACTCCACCAAAAGTGGGAAACAGCAGCGCACGTTAGTTCAGTCTGTGTCCTGTGCATGTGCCGTCTGTCCATTCTCTGATTGTGATAATTTTTTGCCCTAAGTGTGCTATGAAATCATGCCAAAAGTGTCGCAAAACTCCCAGAAAGGAAGCGGGTGTGAGCGTTTTAATGGAATCTACCCAATTTAATAAACTATTTACCTAAATTGGGAAATAACGGAAAAGAATTCTCAACTCGATTTAAGGGAAAACACAGTTTAACGGAAAGGGGAGGCTTGAATTGGCTCGTTAAATCAAGAAATTACTGTATAAACTTATTATTATTATTATTATTACTGAATCACTGTTATTATTATTAAAATGGATATAAATCTGTAGATTTTAAAATTTCAGAAAAAACAAGAAAAGCAAAAGATGGGAGAGCACAATGAACTTTAATAATTATGGTAATTTTTAATATGTGTACAGTACATTGGAAAACATAAAAATTCATCACAATTTTTATTTAGAATCATGAAAAAATAAGTAAAAAATAAATTAATTAACATCTGACTTTCTAAATTTCCACACTACAAACTGCATGTCACCTATAAACTAAGAAAATGGTATAAAAAATTTTTTCACTTACTGGATTGACGCTTGAGTCTGGATTAATTTGGAGCGTGTAGATATCGTCCCTGGAGTACTGGAACAAACCATAGTAGGGGTTGAGCATCTCGTGAGACAAGAGGTACAGCCACTCACGAGCGACGCCGCCATAATCAAGTCCTTCCTCTCCTTTAAACTTTACCATTAATCTTTTGCGTAAATCCTTTGGTCTCATTTTCATAATCTGTCTATAAGATTCCTCGAAGACCTCGCCACGTGGAATGTCCAAACGGCAATGACCGCTCTGAGGCTGGAGACACTGCAGTTCCGCCCTCAACACTTTCATCTTAGCAACTAAATCACGTTTATACTTTGGAAGGCAGTCGCCCTCCATGTCTATCACAGCTGGATCCTTGGACCCAGGCGTATTATTGTTACTGCTTATCTGTAGGTTAGTGCTGTTGTTCTGGAGCACCACAGGGTTACTGCTATTCACACTCGAAGTCACACCACTTCCTTCACTGCCCCTATTGTTGCTATTATTAATGCTAGCAGGTACAACAGTTGGACTAATTGGAGTACCATTAACAACAGAGCTATTTGGTTCTTCACTATTAGGCACACTATTTGGAATAGTTTCCCCTGCAGTGTTAGCCTCAGGAGATGGCCCTCTACTTCGAGAAGAACTATTTCTTCTATTGCTAGAGGACCTATTATTTCTATTATTTGGAACAGTGCTGATAGATACAGAACTTTCATTGTTCACATTGGTTCTAGGTTCACTACTACTGCTGGTGTCAATTAAACTTGTTCGGTTACTTCCCTCACTGCGATTCCTGGAAGAAAATACTCTTGGTTAAATAATTGAAAACAGTTGAAAGATAGAATAAATAGTTGTCAAGAAGAGAAAGCAAAAGGGAAATACCAAATAACAGGCAAAAGATGAAGGGATAATTATCCTGTCTAAGATGTGTTGGACTGAAAAAGAGAAATAAAACAAAAGAGGAGGAGTGACTAGCTACAAGTAAGCTCAAGGATGGTGTGGCATAAACAGTGGATGCAATCACCTTTGAAATGTTAAGGGTGGCAGGTGGAATACATTAGTGAGAGAATAATGGGTCAAAATACTATGAATGACAGCAAAAAGGATAACAAAGGTGTGGCAGAGTAAGTAGAGCTCACCTGTATAAACGAAAAGGTGGCAAGAATTAATGTAAAGATTATAGAGAAATTAAGGGAATAGCTACCACAGTAAAACACATCTTTCACAGCTGTAAGAATGAATTAACAGCAACAATTGAAAGGATGGCTTTAGGGTAATAACTAACCTGAGAATGTTATTGAGAATATGACTGTCAGAGAGCCTGGGATCAGTGAACTGCGTCGTACGATTCGTATGATCCAAGAAGTATGGTCGTCCACTGGGCGTGTGCCTCAATTCCCATCCTCCTGGGAGAGGGGCTATCTCATCAATGTTGACTTGTCCAAGGTCACGTGGCACTCTAGGATCATGCCAGGTGGATGTCCCAGTGTGGATGTTGTAGTAGTAGACCTGACCCTGCTGTGTGGTGCGCATCTCTAGAGGAAGTAAAGAGTCATTAATAAACCAACTGCATACAATAACTGGCTTTACTGTGTTTAAAAAATGCAGAATATGTTTCCATGAATCAATAACTTTTTAATCTAAATACTTAATAATAATAATAATAATAATAATAATAATAATAATAATAATAATAATAATAATAATAATAATAATAATAATAACAATAACAATAATAAGAGACTTTACTGATTTATTCATATCAAAATCAACTGAAGCATCAAATTTCTTCACCAGTAAGGTTGTATATGTGTTGTATGTAGTAAACAGATAGACATTTGAAATCAACTTTTTACAACATAAAAACACTGTACCGTATACAAACAAACATACTACACAGCAACTAGCTGACTGATTATATACACTGTTAGGTAATAGGCAGTAAGAGCAAGTAAAACATTTCCTCAGGTTTAAACAGGACATCTGCATTTTTTTTTTTTTTTTACTCTTTGTTTACTACACATTTTTCACTCATATTGCTGGTGAGCACAAATATAGTATCAACATATGCAAAAAAGCTTTACATATTTTATTTTAAGAAAATACTAGAAAAGATTATGGACACATGCTAAATATTTTGCACATTTGTTTACCTTTACCCAAGTGAGAAAGATGTTTTCTACACACATACACTGAAGCTACTGAAAAATGAGAACAATGTAAATGTTGCCAACTATTACATGTATTAACCACTACCAGTAACATGGCGTGTGGGAACTCCTTTGTGAGGAATGATATACTTGAGTAATTGTGTGAAAAACAGCAAGATGGGAGGCAGCAACAACTTTTATGATATATTTTCAGAATAAATTACACACCTACTGTATAACAATGACTATTAACTGGTTACTGGGTGTGATCAAAATAAAGTGAATATATGTTAGGGCAAATGGATTACATGACCAGTCAGTGCCTATCTCTTCCCCCACTCCTGCATTTACATCTCTGAGTAAGAGATGTTTGTTATGACAATGTCCCTGATGAGGAACTAAACATAAAATAGCTTAATGTATACACAGTTACACAAATATGTATGGTGGTATATGGACAGGTGTTGTGTCAAAAAGAGAAATATAATATTCACTGACCAAAACCCTCAGGGAGATCTGGTGGCTGATGGAGTTGATTCCTGGAGAGATAATGACGGTGTCGGGCAGATCGTCTCCGAACTGAATCTGGGTTACGCCTAGATTCACCAGCATCTCGCTGACTGACCCGTTCTACACTCTCTGCTCTACTCCGTCTATGCTCTCTGTCTCTGGGATCCCTGTAAGTATACAATGCACCAAAATCTTCAAAAAGAAGCCCCAAAATGTTCAAGTAATGGTGAAGTCTCAATTCTAGTCCCTGACCAAACATAATAACATTAAAACAATCATCTACTTAAGAGCTAAAGTGACATCTGATTCCCTCTGTATTTAAACATTTTCTACAAAAACTTAAATACATAAAAGGCAGCATTAAATTGGTCCAGCTATCTGTCCATCACCCTCACTTCCCTCTCATTTAAATAAGAATACGGGAGAACAGGTGCACCAACCAAGAAAATAATAATTCATAACAAAGTAAAAATGGTCAGCTAAACCTTATTAGCACATACCTATTATATCAAAATTAATGTTATCCAATGTAATAAGATGAATCTATCAATTTCCACATTATAAAAGACACAAGGGTTACCAAGAACTGATCATTGGCTACATTAAACTGGAATTGAGGAAAAACACACACACACAAACTCGGGTATAATAAAATATCATATGTCAAGAAAGACAGGCATTTGGCTGACTAATTCAGCCAACAGCCGTACAGTCCTATAGACAATTCTAATGAGTTTGTGACTGAGGCAGGCCATTCAACCAGCTGCAGTATAGGTATTCAAAAAAATTACATCCCATTGGGACGCAGCAGTCCATTACAAAAAGAAAACTGAGGGAACAATTTTATCAGCTGAACAGCTCCCATTATTTCAGGGTTAAGTGTTTAAACTACATGAGAGAAAATACTGCATGGCATTTATATTTGTATATAAGGCACAGTTACCAGTACTATTACTCTACTATCAGACTATAAATAAATACCTTACAGGATGTATTGCTAGGCTCATGCTGGAAACAAATATATTGAAGAGTTACCTACAAGAACAACAGCTATGTTTCAAAGACAACACTTAAAAATACTGTACAAGCAATACATGCATAAAAAATGAAAGAAAATTGTCATGATAATCAAAACATTAACTATGTCAGACATGCTAATATTGCCTACAATATATCAGGAAGTAGAAACCTGTTGTACCTATTTTATATTGGTTGGTTGGTGTATCTTGCCTTTTGTGTTGTGAGAGGGATATGAATTTTACTCCCTATGCATGTTGTTCAACTTACATTTGCACCTCTTAAAATAGAAATTTTCTCCTTATAACTTCTTTACGGAACCTACCTAACCCCATACAAGTACCGTATACTCATCCATAGACAATACATGTACTATATGAAATTCCATCAATAAATACTAATTCCAGCTCAAAGAACCAGCTGTCACTTTTTAGTACAGTACCAATAATCTGTTTCTTGTCTGTATGTATTGTACTGTACTCCACATTGCCGTATGGGCAACAGCAATCCTCAGAAGCCATGGGTATTATTCTCATAATTGATCCCACTATCTGTGTATGTCTCAAGGATGTATCTTCCACCAAAACATTAGCAACTAATTATCTTTATACCTACAATCAATGCCTATGTAATAACACCAGAAGCATTGTTAAGAAATTTACATATTGGTTAGAAATCTAGGCAGTGAAACAGGTGTCACTGGGATGCAATATATCAACACATCCATCAAATCATAAAAATTACATCTAAAGACCAAAAGGTTTCTATCTTATCTTGTTTGAATGATGATAATGTGAGGTTAAAACTCAATAGTCATTCACTAAAACTCTTAAATTGCTATTCGTGTCTTCTCAACATTAAGTCTATCTTGTGTAATATGGCCAACAGCTGTTAATATCTACACCAGTTAATTATCTGTACAGTACTATACTCCAAAAAACAGTTTTAATATTTACCTTCTGACCGGTGTTCCCTCTTGTGGCACATCTGAAGAACTTGTATTTGGATTGCTCAGAACTATATTCCCCCCGGCTGGCGACGTAGTGGAGGCTGTACTTGCAGGGACAATGATGGAGGAAGTGGAATGTCTGCTCGGAGAGCCCAAAACGCTAGTGTCACCTGGCCTGCAACACGCGGCACTGTGTCGTGAGGTCGATGCTGGGTCACACCGGGAAGAGGGGGAGGGTCCAGTGCAGGGAGAACCAGAGGCAGTGTAGGGAGGACAGACCTCATTACAGCCTACTATGCAGGGGACTGGAGCAGATGATAGTGTACGTGGGCTGGATATATGAGGAGGGAAAGATTTGTGATACCCTACAGAACAGCTAGGAGCTAAGGAAAAGGATGTAGAGGGTTGAGCTTGGCTAGTACCTCTGGCACAGCTGGGAGAAGCACAGGATGAGGAGGGGCATGCTTGACTAGAACCTCTGACACAGTTTGGAGAAGCAGAGGATGAGGAAGGACAATCAGAGGAGCAGGGAGGGGAGTTGCAGGCCTTGGGAGCAACACAGGAGAAGACAGACGAGAGGAAGACATAGATGGCACATGGACACACGTACGTCTTGTCACGCCGTCTGCGCTCCACTCTGTAATAAGCCAATTGGAAAGACCAATCACTTTTGTCTTTCACACTTAATAGCCTTTCACAATATTCTGAGCCCTCGCACATACAGACAACATTGTCACAAACTTATGAATGACACAACAACAGCATTCACTGTTCTTTTATTTCATTCTTAATCTGGGGATTCTTCTTGCACTAGTAGTGCATATTACATTAATAAATGGCAACTTCACTTTTTGTCAAATTGTTATAATAAAATCTGGCTTACAAGTGCAACACTAAATTATACTCATACAAATAATAAAAACAAATTTTCAACTAATGTACAGGCACAGTATGACTTCACATTATCAGACTCAAAATACCAGAACTTGGTTTTGTTGGACTTTTTTTTTTTGGTCAGATACAGGTACAATTTATATGGTGACAGTCCAGCACTACAAATACTGTACAGGTCATGATTGGCTCAGTTCCTGGTCCATATTAACACCATACCATTAAGTACATACTAAGTTCAGTCTGTCTTGTATGTACAGTAGTTGGAACAAAGTTAAGTACAGTATATACTGTAATACTGTACTGTACTCTCTTTTCCTCCCCAGACCTTGAATACTGTAATTGTGAGAAAGATAAAAGCTCAAGTTAGCAAGCATAAGAGGTTTCCTTTGGCTGAGAAAATAGAAACTGTGAAAAAGATTAACAACATTGTTCCCAAGCATCAGCTTAATGGCAGGATTTAAGCTTCCAAAGTCAACCTTATATGCTATCAAGTGTAAAGCTGACAAAATTATTGGCTTCCAGCATAATTTTTTAAAGATTAACAAGTACTAATAATACAGAAAATCTTTGGTGTTAACAAAAAAACTAATACATAGAGCCTAGTAGTGGGACCCCTGAAGCAGTGGTGGCACTACCTTAGGTGGATGTGGTGCTGCTGCATCAGGCAGTGGTGGTGTCGCATTAAGCTGTGGTGAGCTAGATAAATGCCACAGCTTCACTTGTTACCCAAGAATGATCCCGAGTGTGATGCACTGAACCACTCTTAGTGCCAAATTGACTCCCATGTACATAACCTTATTACAAATTAATTAAACTTACACAAGTACAGGTACTATTATTACACTACTGCATTATTACTGTACATTATTATTTCTATTACTATTATTATTAGTAATTATTATAAGTAAATTATTTCTAATTTCTATTGTCATCATTATCTACTACCAGTATTCTAAATTTATCATTTCCACTGAACTACTGTATGCCTGTATTCAAAGCCATAAACAAGAGTATCTACAGCTACTAGGTCCAAAGAAGTTATTTGCCAGCAGTAATGTGCATTTCAAAAATTACTATTACAGCATTATTTTTTTCATTTATTTATTTTATTTATTTATTTTATTTTATTATTTTTACACGAGACGGTGTAAAATATTTGTGGTTGATCAACTATACACTGAAGCAGACAAGCTGCACTCCGTCCCACACTAGATGTACTGTACTGTATAGTACTGCACTTCATTACACATGCCATCTCAGAGAATGACCCTGATGATCCTGTGTTGGCCTCTCGAGCCATGCTAGAACTTGTCAGTTATAATATCACTCGCCACTGAACAATTCCTAACATCTTCCATCACTGGAAGATCATCACACTCAAGCCCAAGTGATGAAAGAAGAATATGTTTGGATTTACCTTAAATCTGGATTTTAATGATCAGGTTTTGTCCTATATTAATCAAATAAAGCAAAGTCATACTGTACTCTCAAAAATATTTCAATACTGCCCAGTAAGCCACAAGCAGAGTATAAGGCAGCAAACAGTGCCAGGTATTGTCAGATAACAAGTACTGTAAGTACATTAGTGATGATGGCTTTACATTACAGTATCTATCTTCCTTCTTAAATTTTACGACTACAGTATTACAAATTAAAAGTGCATCTTTATATATTTCATGAATATAAATACATTTTTAAAAGACAACTGCATGATAATGGACCTAACATCTTTGTTCCACTCATTTTTGTTTTCCTTAACAATCATTACATTTCATGACACTACCGTAATTGGTTGCTAGCTGCTACGTGAGTTGCATCAGCCACATCAGGAAAGTCGCATACTTAATTTTCTTCAATACTAACAATATTTTCCATAATTTAAAATAAAATAAACAATAATTTGCTGACCAGGCACATTAACTTAGTACCCAAATTCCCTTAAAATCAAAAGTTAGTAAGGAAGCCAAAAGTGTGCGGAGGTTAGACTGTGGGTCAAATATCAAAAGTAATTATATAGGTGAATATGACTATTATAATTATTATGTTTGATTAGTTTTATTTATACCAATATTTCTTACATAAATATTCATAAAGCTGGAAATCACAAATTTGCAAAGTGGTTGATTGAATATTTTGTGCAAGAAAGCCCAGTTTTAATGAATATTTGTACAGTACTGTATTTGTTAGTTTAAATATAAAACTAGTTATCTGAAAAAGAGGGTCCTGAGAATATGTGAATAAGGCTTGTTACTACCTTAGGAATACAAGCTTGTAATACTGTATCCTTATCCTTCTCATGAATATATTGGCTACAAATTTCCAAGGTACACACAAAATCTCTCTCATTTCATTTTGCAGTGACATCCATAGCAGTACTGATTGTGAAAAACAACTAATCTACACATAAACGTACATACACCAAACAAAAAAATATAATTTATTCTTTAATGTCCATGTACCATATGTGAATAACTGAAAATAATAAAAGAGTGCAAGCCAGAAACAGATAATACCAAAGAGTGCAAAAAGGTGAAAAGTGAACTTATAAAAAAATAGATTCCGAGACGACTCATTCCTTATAAGCTCGTGCAAAAATATTCCCAGCATCACGTGTCGCCAAGATGAGAAGACTAGTGTAACTTACAGGACATGAAGGGTACAGTATAGTTACTGACTGCTGCATCAGCTACGTTACCTAAGTGGGAACATCTCAGGAAAGAAGAAGGATGAAAGATAATCCAATACGGTGCGACTTACTTTAGTACATAGCAGCCAAGACAACAAACAGTAACACCAACCTATGGTAATGCAATTAATTAAAAATAAAGAAAATAAAAAACAGTAAAATACAGGCTAAAAGGATCCATTTTAGAGTTATAACTGTATATTTGACTCCACAAAAAAAAAATCAAAATTCATCCACTTTATATTCTAGTACTTTAAGAAAAATCTAAAAAGCATAAGATTTAATATTTTATTTATTTATTGGAGCTAAAAATAAAAAAAATAATAAATTTTTCTGAGAGCAGGAAAGCTTCAAGTGGACTTCCATTCACTTAACTAACTGTTTATATTACATGGTGCAGCATATGGTGTTGTGGCATATGCTGTTAGTGGTCGTGTTTCTCACTTGGATCATATTTGTGAGCTGACAGGAAGTTTAGGTTGTTTTCACCTTCTGTTTGCACATTAAGCATAATAAATAATAGAAAAGTAGTAAATGTGATGGCTTGCACAATATTAATATTTAAGTTTGATTGTTCAAAATGTTAAATAAAGCAGTGTTATGATAAATTAACATTCAAGCAGTAATACTTCTTGAGATAAAGATGAAGTGAGGCCTCCCTGACATACATCCTCCACAAAAAGAATTAAATAATAGTTTAAACATTAAAAGTTTATATTCATAGTAACAAAAAATAATAATATAATAAAAAGCAGCAAAATAAATCTCTTCTATTCTTTGCCACTCCAAGGTTACATGTGAGAGTAGTGTGCAATGGTATGTGTGCTCGGGTAAGTACAGTACTGTACATGAACTATGCAATCTCCAATGTAAATAGAATGTATGCCTTTGATATACAGTATGTACAATTTTAATATGGAATATGAAAGTATTTTACATTGAATGAAACTGTTTTGGGCTGCAAAGTAAAAAAACAACTGAATAATGGCGATTTACACATTAGTACAAATTACAGTATTCTCTTGAACAATGTAACACTTTATCTCATTAATGGTCATCATATACTATACATTCTCACACCAAGTCAATGTTTTCATTATGCATTTATGGTCATTATTCATTACAATGCACAGTAAAGAATAATGTTTATACCGATTCAGCATGTTTTAGTAATTCAATGAAACCAACAAGATATCTGGCATTACACTTCAATAAATAATTTCCTACACAAAAATCTAGAAATGCAACTCAGTCATTTCTTAAACCGTGGCTAATGATTCCCTTCTCAGCCCCCAAATGATAAAAAATGGAACGTAAGGAACAAGAAACATTCACCGATAGATAACCGACGTTCCTACAACTAAATGCCACTGACGATGGCTGCCGTCCCTACAGTCGTCTAAAGATTAATTGTACTGTACTATACGTAGTATGATTTACAATTGGCAGGACACATAGTAACAGTAAGAGACCATGACTATTACACTGTACACTTGTTTTGTGGGGAATGTAAAGTATATCATTACGAGACGACAGCAATATTAACCACCATACACCTATCATGTGAATCACTTTGCAGCCAAACAATTTCATTATGCTCTTGTCCGAGAAAAAAAAAAGTAAAAGCTTATGACATTGGTTAGCAAAAGCAGAGACAAGAGGAATTAAAATGTTAAAGCAGTCAAACTTATCATCTCTGCATATATGTAAAATTGTCAGGTGTTTAGATCATACTGTATTCCCAGCCCTGAGTACGTAGTGATATTTGTGGCAATCTCAATATCTTGGCGAAAATTATTAAAGATTTGAATATCACGCAATTAATTGAATTTTTACACTGACATACATGTAAGGTATAATTTTAGGTGAGAGATTAGTAAGAATGTTGAAGTACTGAAGGTTTACATACATTATGTGAGCAGGTTGTGTCGGCCGCTCCCAGGTGGTGGTGCGGTCATGATGGTTTACATAATATAAACGACCAGTAGGCGTTCTCCGTTCTTCCCAGCCCTGAAAGTGGACACATTCAGTGTGGTGTTCACATCATCATCATCATCATCATCATCATCATCATCATCATCATCATCATCATATTTTCCTATGTTTAGTTTCCTTTGATAGCAAGTCACCAATTTAAAGTACAGATCAGTCATAATACAAAAGATAATTACATATAAAAATCACAGTACCTTGTACTGTACATGTACCTAAATAGAGCAAAAATATTATGAATCTGGTTATGTTCACAGTACTGTACTGAACTGGACATCATCTTTATTGTCAATTATTTTCTTGCCCCAGACTCAAAATATTTGTTGATCTGGAAAGTAGGAACATTCATTATACTGTACTCTACAGCTATTCATACTACAAATATAGGTATAGTATCTACTGTAGATTCAGATTCTGTGTACAGTTTCACATACAAGTTGACAAACTAATCTTGAAGATGAAGATCTTTTAGCTTTAACACCTAATGACAAACTCACATCAGGCAGATCATCTGGAGAAGAGAGATTTCCCAGAGGATCAACAACAGCATTGTGAGAGCCAGTGCCCCGGCCATCGCGAGACATGAGAGACACCACGATCTGCCCCCGCACTGGTTCACACTCATCATGGCCAATCCGTGTAAGGTCCAATCGTTGATCTGGTGTGGGGTAATAATAACAAATACAGGACTGTACAATGAGAGTAATGTACTTGTATATAAAATTATCATAAAAGAACTAAGAGAACAGCACATACTCTACGTACTGACATAAAAAGGAAGAAAGATACGGGCATAGATAATTAAATGGGTCTTTTGGAAACTATGACTCAACTTCACACATAAAAAGGCACACAAATGAGATTCAGAAAATCGCCATTTCGTGAAGATTAAGCAGATAAAAATGTTAAAAGACAGCAGAAAGAAATGTATGAAAAGTGGATAGATAGATGGGTTAATGAATGAATGGACACACAGATGTGTTGGATCATGATTAATCCCGATGGCTTTTGAGTAAAAAGCACAAAAGAAAAAAATTGAGCAGTAATATGAGCGTGACAATGAAGCAGAAAGCTGGATACATATACAGTACAGTACCGCTGTATGATGAAAATTAATGAAAATTATCAGAATAAAAATACTGTATGATAGTAAACAAGATTAAGTCATAAATAAAACAAAATGATAATAAGACTTGTACTTGTAAAACAAATATACACATTAGGTACCTCACTAAAAAAAATAGCCACAAAATGTCGAAGTCTAAAAAATTGAAGAATTATACATAACGCAATTATCAATCAAACAGCTTGAACATTGTCAGATCAACTCAAATTTCATATAAAAGTTGGTTACATTTTACTATACATGACCTTGAACCTCCAAAAAATATTTAGCAGTCTAACTTTGTATGAAGCATCAGTGGTAAATGTCTCGTCAATATAAAATCGCCCTAAGAACAAGCCAGACATAATTATACTATACACACAAGTACAGACAGGGGTGAAATAATAAGCCCCACCCATAAAAATAAGTCAATGTTGTGTGACGTAAGAATTTACACTCTGGAAGAATGACAATAAACACTTACACCCAGTGTCCTTCAATCTGTGTATAGCGGAAGCCACGATGCGAACACAACCCAGGAAGCCACTGCCAGCCTTTTTATGGATCTTGCGTCGGTTCCAAACACTGATCGTGATTCCATCGCCTTTACCAACATAACTGGAAAAGAGAAAGTTCTTTTGTTAATCTAAACTTCTCTTAAAAACAACTTTAATACTTAAACTTCTCATGAAGATTTTTTTTTAATCTGAAACTGAAAATAACTATAACTCATTTTGATAAAACATTTGGTCAGTATAACTTCCCCGGGTTTAAGTATAATCTCCTGCAAAGAAATCTAAAAAATAAAAATAAAAATCCATAAAGCTTCTTCCTGCCATGATACAGGGTGGTGGTCGAGGGAGGTGCTGATCTGATTCTTGACATTCAGCAGCCAGCAGGTCAACCCAGCCCCTTGGTAGGACTTAACGCAGGTCTTAAAACCGGGGGAGGGAGGGTGCAAAGTAAACTAAGGGATAGGGAATGGATGGCTTGAGAGACTGTGATTATAAAACTAATTAGTGTAAAAAAAACCATTCCTTAATACAGGTACTCATAAATTTTAGATAAATAATAAATGATGAATCATCAAAAAATGCTACACTAAAAGGGCTGGTCGACATGGCGAGAACCCTATTACCCCATCTTTCACTTGATTGGGAATCAAAGTGAATATTCGGTCTACTATCTCCGCTAAGGGGTCACTAAATGTACTACAGTATTCTGATAGTCAAAGGCCGCCATCTCGTTTGCCACCAATTACAGCAAAACAGCTCTCCCAACTCCAAATATTGTAATCTACTATAGTGTAATTTCTAAACTTTTAAGACTGTAAGTGGTAGGAATATTAAACACATCAGGCAGACACCAACCGCCATTAAAAAAAAAAAATATATATATATAATGACTGGAATAACAGCAAACACAAACTACCTCGGGTAGCTTTAACTAATTCCAAACTCATAACTTGGTCTGACAAACTCTGGATGCAGACAATATTTCATGGCGGTACAGGGTATCCGCGATTTGTCGAGACATTAGGCATAATTAGCTGATTTTGGGTGGATCCTTATTTTCCTTTCATAACAAAGACAGACACGTCAACTAACAATATGGCATCCTCGTTCACCAAGAGGAGGAAGCAGCAGGATGAGGCTACGGCTAATCGTAAATCCTAGCCCGAGTGGTGAAAACTGACACCGGGACCCCACTACCCCTCCTCTCACACCAGACTCCTTCCTCTCTCACAGACACTATACCAGCCTCCTCCTTCCTCTCCCACAACAATTTATCGTCACTCCCACCTCGGCCCCACACTAGCACTTTTTCCGTCATTTTCTTGCATAAATTTTCTAAAGAGTGGAATTTTTCTGAGTGCGCCCTGTCACACACAGAATTATATACAGATGCCATAAACATAACGCTCTATGTTAACAAACATAACATGTATTTACGAATATCAACTTCACTAAAAAAAATTACACTTAAGCATTGTCAAAAATGCGATAGTGAATACAGTACAGGTACTTTTAAAATCAAATTAGTTATTTTACGAGACTCGATATTTATTTTATCTAAATATCCTCATTATCGGGAATGCATCTTAAGTTGACCACGGAAACTGACACAAGGAATCAGGTGGACGACACATTTCGTCTGAGCGAGACGCTCTAGAAAAATTGACAACTCTTGGAAAAAGACAGAAAACGAGAAAGTTGACGGAAAAAGAGCCCTCCTTTGACAAGTCCTAATAAGGTCTGGCTATTTCGTATTCTCCAGATTTTTGGATAACACTCACTGGCGTCAAGTCTTAACATCCACCACCTTACCTCCAGCACGCCCAACCCTCCCTGAATCCTCCTCCCATTCATTCTCATTATATTCTCCCTTTCGTCTCTTATGCCTCGCAACTCCCTCCAGAGGAGAACTTAAATTTCAATGAATCCTGCGTTAATAAATTATAAAGCGGATTAGCAAGTAAGATACGGGTTCACAGAGGATTTTATGCGTTTATTTTTACTTCTACAGTACATGGTAAGATTAGTTTTTAGTTTAACAAATTTATTGACAAAGCTTGGAGTACAGTTTGCCTATTCTGAGTAATTCAGTCAGGTTTTGACACTGAGGGTGGTATCACTTCTCTGCCACGCAGGACAGAGGTTCATACACAAAGAAATACATCATATTCATTAATCTCTCTCTCTCTCTCTCTCTCTCTCTCTCTCTCATATATATATATATATATATATATATATATATATATATATATATATATATATATATATATATATATATATATATATATATATATATATATATATATATATATATATATATATATATAGGTCAGAGTCGTGTGGGTGATGTCACTGCTCGCTGCCATGCAAGACAGTGGTTCATATACATTGGACGTCATATTCTAATTGAAGACTAATTAGTGTACATGGTAGGAAGAAAACGCACTCAAATTAGTCATCATTTTGAACGCTTTTTTTTTTAATTACGTCCACAAGCTAAGAGGAAATACAAACGTCACGAGGAGCCAACCTGGTAAATGAAAAGGACAGAAGGGGTGAGCAGTCAGGTTACTTTAAAAAGGTTTAGGTTAGATAACGTAAGGTCTGTTTTGTTAAGTCTTCTGCGTTACTTCTCAAGACTATATTAACCTCGTAAAAACAGTAGAACTAGCACAGAGTGAATAAGGAAAGGGTGTGTGCGTGTGAATCAATCGCCTCACTATCCCCGTCACTGGTCCGTTGTTGGAGAAATGCACCAACAAGAGTGATGCCAAGTCCTTTAAGGATCATATATCTTTCTGTTAGTGTTGTTACTCTTTTATTCTTCTCTATGACCTCCCTTAATATTATTCTATTACTTTTCATTCTACTACTACGATTGCTCATATCATTATTGTATTACAGCTTATATTACTACAACAACTGCTGATAATATTTCATTTTGTAAATATCTGTTACTACCGTTATTGTTAATTTGTTTTCTTGTAATTATTATCCTGTCTCTCTTTCTCGTGTCTTTCAACTTTCAATCAAAATGGCTCGTTAAGGAGAATTCGAGGCGCTACTGTGTTGATCAGTTTCAAACACACCCAAAAATTATTTCCGAATCCTCTTCACAAAGGCAGACCAGGCACGCCCCCACCACTCCCTCCTCCTCTCTCTCTCTCTCTCAGGAACGGACCCACAACCCTGACCCAGTTTCCTCTTCCCTCCCACACTGACCTACTTTATGACCCACCAAAAGGCTCACACATCAACACCTGGGTCCAAAGTCTCCAAAGATTCGCACAATTTATCATCTTGTTCGAAGTGAAGTGGAGCAGAGGGAATGCCTCAAGTTTCGTTACGGTTCCTAAAGCAATTTCGACTCTATTTAGGTCACTGCCTTTGTCCCGGTGCACACAGGGTAGGTGAACCAGCTGATGGGTTCACTGTTCACATGTCAACAACTGGGTGGGTGGGGGATATATACAGTAGATCTCTGAGAACTTGGACCCTGGACTCGGATTCTCAATACTTCGCAAGATAAAATATTCCCCTTTGCCCTTACTGAATGACTCAAACACACAACCATCCAAAAGCCTACACGGAGTCGACAGCTCATCGACACCTGGCAACCAACACCAGATATGACCTTTCAGCCTAACTGTGGGAGGAATCAATATACGAATCTCTGACAATTGAGGCCGTTGGATGTAAAAGCATTTCAGCATCCAGCACTTGAAATACGACCTACACAAACCGCGGTACACCATTCCTCTTGAAACTCTCCGGGCATTTACCACAACAAATATTGCTTGTGTGTTTTTACTCAAATAGTTTGTTCTATTCCCCCCAACTGTGTTTGATGTCCGTTGCTGTATTAGTAGAGATATTTGACGTGGGAACTACAGTTGTTAACTATTTTGTCTATTCCAGTTTTATATATCATTAATGAACAATAATTTATATACATTCAAACGTGTAATTGAGTTACCATTTCATCTACACATACAGGTTACGTTTCGCAGCTATACAATGTGAAAAATTTATCAAATAAGTAATAAAAACGTGCAATCCAATCAGGCTGTGATGGGTACACGGAGTGCTAGTCGCCTACACCAACAATCTGACTCACCAGGACCTCCGTCACCCCGGATGCCACTTGATCGAAGATTGATTTTCGGAGGAACAGAGAATCTTCCTGGATTTTCCCTGCCTTGTCCCTCCCTCCCTCCCTCCCAGTATCTCCACCACACACAACTCCAGCTATAATCCAGGAGAGCTTCTTCATAATGTGTGATTAACGTAGCTGTATAATAATGTACCAGCACAATAACAGCCTTAATCTAACCTAACCAGCCTGTACTACCCTGCCATCACCAACCATAAACACAGAGTACCCCAGACGGAACTGCTAGAGTCATACACCTAGAGCTTATCCAAAGATAATCTATAAGACTGTATATATTATAAAGTGCTTTACCCTGAACGTAGAGTCAACATCCTTTACCATCATTATTTGTTTATTATCGTATTGTTTATCCTTCATCTTTTACCCTTTGTTGTTTATCTTCCTTCCCGCTTTTATCGGTGGTATTGTTCCCACTAAAATGGGTCGCCCAGCTGACCCAATTTCCCACCAGCAGCGCGAGGAACACACTCCAGTGGACCCTTGCGCAGCCGAACTCTATATGTCTGTCTGTCTGTGTGTGTGTGTGTGTGTGTGCGCCCCCTCCCTCCCTCCAGACACCACACAAAAACTGTGTCGCCGTCGCCTCCGCTAACTTGTGTCCTACAGAGATGATGTACCGCCGTATCTCCCAGTAGCCAACCCAGAGTCCCAGACATTCGTTCCTGTTATCCCCCCGGCTCTGAGATAAGGCATCGAAGTCGGCTACAGACTTTTGGCGCCAATTTGTCCGCCATAGTTAAAATATCAAATAAAATTATAAGTCAGACGTATTCTTTTATCTTCAATTATGGGGAAAACTTAACCCACGAATGTTTTGTGAGCCTGACTAACTTTATCTGACCCATCCGCGTCCACATGCACAATTCAGGTTAATATTTGGGTTCACACGTCGACTTCAACACACTGGGGGGGCTTCACATTCCTGCTTC